GGAGGCCTGATCCTCATAGTCGATTTCTATCTGCGTGGTTATGGCGCCTGTGTCAGGGTTGATCTTGAACTGTGGCACGTTGTCCTCCATAACATAGCTGATGCGTGCGTTCTCCCCTGTGTCCTCGTCCGTGGCACTGATCACCACCACAGTGGAGCCCACAGGCCGGTCCTCGCCAATCATCACCTGGTAGTTGGTGCTCTGGAACACGGGCCGGTGGGTGTTGGCATCAGTGACGTTGATAAAGACCTGTGCTGTGTCGTAACGCGTGCCATCCGAGGCTGTCACCGTCAGGACATACTGCCGCTCCTGTTTGTAGTCCAGTGGCAGTGCCAGGGTGATGACTGCCCCTGCAGTCTGACTGGTGATGGCAAACCTGTTCCGCGTGTTGCCGCTGGAAATCTGGTATGTTACCACACTGTTGGCGTCCCTATCTATGGCAGAGAGTGCTAGCACGCTCGTACCCACCACAGCATCCTCATTAATCTTCAGGCTATACAACCTCTGAGTAAAAGTGGGGACGTTGTCGTTCACGTCGAGCACTGTCACACTGACGCTGGCCGAGGAGGACATGGCAGGGACCCCATGATCCACTGCTTCAACGCCAAACGTGTAAAAGCCGGTGGTCTCCCTGTCAAGTTCTTCACTAACTGTAATCCACCCTGTGCTGTTGTTGATGATGAAGGGGAATCCTGGAGCCATAGCTGTTAGTCTGTACTCCAAATGAGAGTTGTCACCGGAGTCTGCATCAATAGCCTGAATATGGATCACAGAACAACCAACGGCCACATTTTCCAATACTGTGGCTTGAAAGGGTGTGCTAACAAACATAGGGGCGTTATCGTTGACATCCACAACTTGCACTACAACTATCCCTGTGCCATTAATCAGAGGTGGTCTGCCCCCATCCTGTGCCTTTATTCTCAAATTATATTCCCTGATCATCTCATAATCTAGGGGGTTGATTATGTCAATGACACCTGTAGGGGAATGGATGTAGAACTGGCCCTTCACGTTGCCACTGATGATGCTGTAGTGGACTTTTGCATTGTTGCCCTCGTCTTTGTCTGTGGCCTTCACCTGGGCCACTTTGGTGTTCACTGCCACACTCTCAAGCACCTGGACTACATACCTCTTCTCACTGAACTGGGGGTAGTTGTCATTCTCATCCTCCACAGAGATATACACTGTAGCCGTGGCACTGCGGGGGCCTGGGTCTTTACCCTGATCATTGGCCTCCACTATCAGCTGATACTGGGTCAAGGTTTCTCTGTCAGGCCGAACCCTAATCTTGACTAGTCCATTTCTAGGATCGATTTCAAAACCAGCATTATCTTCCCCCTCATTCACAATCTTATAGATCATGTTGGCATTTGATGGGGCATCCCCATCTGTGGCCCTTATAGTCAACACTTCAAAACCTATCTCCACATTTTCCCTAATGCTGACCCTGTACTCTGTCTGCTCAAACACAGGCCCATGATCATTAGTGTCACTTATAGTGATAGTGAGGTAAGCAGTGGCCGACCTCTTAGGGGTGCCATTGTCTGTAGCAATAACTTTGAAGACATGTGTATCCTTGACCTCCCTGTCCAAAGGCTGCAACGTTGTAATGCTGCCGGTCTGCAAATTGATTTGGAAATAATCATTGGATCTGCTATCGAACAGAGCTTCCATATCATATTCCACTTCACCAGCATCTTCATCGTCGGTATCCAGTGCTTTGAGCGTAATTACGCGAGTTCCCGCGGGTTCATTCTCCGGGACAGACACCTGATAGTTGGGCAGTTGAAACTGGGGAGCGGTGTTCACATGTCTTTTTTTACGTTTGGTCCATGAACCCAGTCTCCCTAAATCCCCGTCTGTAAACATGGCATGACTATGAAGATAATTAAATCGCACTTTCACACGAACAGTGGTGTAATTCCAAAGATTTTGCACCCTGCAGAGTAAATCCAATCCATTTCGCTCATTGGGTTGCAGACAGTTTGGCAAAACACTCCCGTTATCAAAAACTAATTTCCAGTTGCCTCCCTTACATAATGAATGGTAAGAATTAGGTTTTCGAGTAAATAGTGGTAAATTTTCATAAATGTTCAAAAGCAAAATACTCTTTGAGACGCATGGATATGTCTCTACTTTTGAGAGAATGTTCATGTAAATCTGGGGCTTACCTTCGGTTATCTTTCTCCTATATTTAATGAAACAGTTCTGTCCATGCACAAAAGTATTGAAGTGAATTAAAATAAAGTTATCCGAGGTACTTGATTTGATCTGAATGTAAAGCGGCGCTGGGTTCTTCGGCAACAGCGCACAATTAACTTTTCCTGAGAAATATACAATTCCATGTTGTCTCTCAATATTGAAAATGTGTCTCACATATTTAGGGGTTAACGTCCTGTCTATTTGATAGATCCAACCCCGTCCAAGAGATACATTTCCGAGCACTACTCCAGGCTGCAAAGTATCCGAAACGTGTACATCAAAACATGCAATTACTAGAACGTGTGATAGAAAACATATCCATGGCCAAAGCATTTGTAATGCCATGGTTTAAAACGCATGGCATCCACCTTATCAGTCAAGAACAGCTATAAAGTCCACTGAACAAGTTTTTCCCGGGTCCTCGCCGTCCAATCCCGTTCCATGATAAGTTAGACTGTTGCGAGGATCGGAGCGTAGCATAGCGCGCCCATGAAATAGTTCAAACTGGTCTCATTCTCCCGAGAGCAAGAGAGAGGCCCCATTCCGCGGAAAATCGGTCTCCCTCCAGCAGGTGGGTTTTTGTTCGTTGTTTTGCCCACCAAGCAAGTTTCTGTATGGTGGTCAATGAGTGTCGAATTTGGTCAACAAAAAAATAAATGGCTTATTTGCTATGTGAGGTTTATTTGATCAAATAGATGTTTCATAACGCTTAAGTTGTTACTAATGTACTGATATAAGTAAGACACGTGACATCCCGGGAACGTTGAGAAAAAACACTTTATATCAGAGTTGTCTCGAGATGGCTATGCATATTCATGCATTGAGGCTAGTAGCATAGCATCTCTCTCGGTTGAAAACAGGCGGTTGACTTCATCAACCCTCATTGAATATTCAAAATGTGATTACAATAATGAGATATATCCACCATTCCGAAGAAAGTATAGGCGGGAGCTAGACAGCCCACCGTGACACTTTGTTGACAACCACTCCCATTGTCAGGGCGGAGAGACATGTATCTTGTCAGTATATCCATAATCTTTGCACTCTCTCACCGCCCTACCTCTGAAAGCTGCCCTGCTCCCCAACTCTAGGCTGCGTTTACACAGGCAACCAAATTATGATATTTTTGTTCAATAATTTGTATTTTGACCGACCTGCTCTGAAACAGAGCTTTGATTTGAAAATATCTGATGTGATTGGGTAAAAAGTTACAAAATATCAGAATTGGGCTGCCTGTGTAAACGCTGCACTGTTTGTCAGTCAAACGCTCTTTCCCAAATATCAGCAGCCGACCACAATGTGCCATGAAGTGATGTGGGTAATGATCTCTAAAAACCTCCTATTTGTACAGGTATATAGTCAGACTTAGTTTTGTATACATTAACATTTTAAACCTGTTCTCATTGTATAGTGTATAAAATCAAATCAAAAATAAATTCACTGACAATTAAAACTTGATTAAATGCTGTCACCTAGTGGACATACTTTAAAACCACCAGGCAGCCAGTTGGGGAATCCTGCTATAGGAAGTATCTAGTACCATGTGGCCTAAAGTTAGCCTGGTTGCCAGTCTCTGTTTAGCCATTACATTCCACTACAATGCGCAGTCAGCCTTCCAATTCATCCCAAAGGTGTTCGATGGGGTTGAGGTCAGGGCTCTGTGCAGGCCAGTAAAGTTATTCCACACCGATCTCGAAAAACCATTTCTGTATAGACCTCGCGTTGTTCACGGGGGCATTGTCATGCTGAAACAGGAAAGGGCCTTCCCCAAACTGTTGCCACAAAGTCGGAAGTACAGAATCGTCTAGAAGGTCATTGAATGCTGTAGTGTTAAGATTTCCCTTCACTGGAACAAAGGGGCCTAGCCCAAACCATGAAAAACAGCCCCAGACCATTATTCCTCCTCCACCAAACATTACAGTTAGCACTATGCATTGGGGCAGGTAGCGTTCTGCTGGCATCCGCCAAACCCAGATTCGTCCGTCGGACTGCCAGATGGTGAACCATTAATCATCACTCCAGAAAATGCGTTTCCACTGCTCCAGAGACCAGTGGTGGTGAACTTTACACCATTCCAGCCGACGCTTGGCATTGCTCATGATGATCTTAGGCTTGTGTGCGGCTGCTCGGCCATGGAAACCCATTTCATGAAGCTCCCGACGAACAGTTCTTGTGCTGACGTTACTTCCAGAGGCAGTTTGGAACTCGGTAGTGAGTGTTGCAACCGAGGACAGACGATTTTTACGCGGTACGCACTTCAGCACTCGGTGTCCCCGCTCTGTGAGCTTGTGTGGCCTACCACTTCGCGGCTGAGCCGCTGTTGATCCTAGACGTTTCCACTTCACAAAAACAGCACTTACAGTTGACCGGGGCAGCTCTAGCAGGGCAGACATTTTACGAACTGACTTGTTGGAAAGGTGACATCATATGACGGTGCCACATTGAAAGTCACTGAGCTCTTCAGTAAGTCCATTCTACTGCCAATGTTTGTCTATGGAGATTGCATGGCTGTGTGCTCAATTTTATACACCTGTCAGCAAGGGAATGGCTGTATATATAGTGTATCTGGTAAATGTATGAGTGTACGAGTGGATTATATCTTATTTATGAGAGCACAAGAAAATCTCTGTGTGTATGTCTGTGGGCAGGAGCTGTTCCTTCAGTCGACGTCAAACTTCTGGGTGCCCAGCCAATAGTGGAGTAGACTGTCTCCGAGGCAATGAGCACAGGTCAGCTCTCTGGCCCTAATACCAGACCTGCATTAATCTACACACAAGACTCAGCATCACAATAAGTTAAATTAAGAACATTTATTAGAGATTTAAAAGAACCACATAGAGCTGCAAGACAGTAACAAACAAAAATAATAAGGTACAGTACCATTCTTAAAAAGAAATCAGATTGGTGACTTACATAGCATGTATACTAACAGTCTTGACTTAAAACACAATCTTATTTTCTTGTCTAAAATCCTTGATCATCAACAGCTAGTTTTATCATTATAAATGTCACTAGTGTGTGGTACAGGCACAACCTTCAGCAGGAAGGCTATTGGAATCAATATACATAGAGGAAATGCTGGAATCTAGCTCTATTGCGATATTATTGATCAAAAGGATAAGTTGATCAGGGGTGCATTGTTTAAGGCACTGTCCTTGTGTTCCGGACTCCATTTGATCAGGGGAGAGCTCAGGTCAATCAACTGTAAGTGGAAAAAAATATACATACAATTACTGGTAATCAGTGTGGTCATATGAATCCTGACAACATACTTGATATTATGAGTCAACTGGGTATCATGGCACTGCATTTCTCAATAATCAGTCATCATAATGACTCCCGAGTGGCGCAGCGGTCTAAGGCACTGCATCTCAGCGGTCTAAGGCACTGCATCTCAGCGGTCTAAGGCACTGCATCTCAGTGCTTGAGGCGTCACTACAGACCCCCTGGTTCGATTCCAGGCTGTATCACAACCGGCCGTGATTGGGAGTCCCATAGGGCGGCGCACAATTGGCCCAGCGTCGTCCGGGTTTGGCCGGTGTAGGCCATCATTGTAAATAAGAATTTGTTCTTAACTGACTTGCCTAGTTAAATAAAAGGTACAATTAATACAAATAATTATGTAAGGAGTGCATTCTCTCACCTGACCACCAGATGGCTTGACAGTGGCTGTTCTCATCAGGACAGGAGTGTTGGAGAGGTCAATTAGGAGTTTCTCATATGGCCTCAACACAGGAGCCGGGGCATCCACCAGCAAAACCTATTGGACAAGAAACAAACCAGAACATACAAACGTCATTCAACCAAAGACAAATAAGAAGTTATGCAAGCTTCCACATATCAAGACATTACCTCATTAACTTCCTGTGTCTTCATCCAATAGCATTGAGGCTGATCCACAAGCTTTTCAGTGTTCTGGAGCTCCTTGGATTCTTCATTCAGCTCAGGGTGGTTGTTTTCCTTGTTAGTCGTAGGAGGCTCCTGGTCCACTCCTGGTTCTGGGACATCTTGACTTACCTCCTGCTCCTCTGGATGTGGGACTGTAGCGGGGGTGGAGGGCTGCACCTCTGGCTCGTCTTCCAGGGAAAAGGGCTGGACGGTCTCCTCTTCTGGGGCTGCTGCCACCTCCTCTTGGTGGCTCCCCTTCACCTGGGTTGGACTGGAGGGGGGAAAAAAGCCATGGTTATCACAAACTAGCTTCTAATAAGCCTATTTATATTACATCACAACACCTTACCCTAACACTGGTTCAGTATGTCACTTATGGAAAGACTATTATCTTGGCCCCTTTAGATAGAGTCCAGTGTGGTAGTCCTAGTGTGGCAGCTGCTTTCTCACCTCCAGTAGCTGGCCCTCTGGGTAGAGGCTGTCAGGTTGGCCATGCTCAGGGAGGGCCTGCCTGGCCGTGACATGCTCTTCGGGGTAAGCATGGGGATACCAGAGATCCTCCGGTTCACAGGGGTGGGCAGGGCAGAGGGGCGTCTCATCTTGGGTTGCACTGCCTTGTTCCCCCCAGCAGGGGGTGTCTGGAGCAGCTCTGGAACTGGAAGTGCTAGATTGTGGGGGAGACTGTTGGATAGAAAGGGGGGGGGCATATACAATGCTAATGTTATGGATTAGGATGACTAACACATCTTTGTACACCATTGAATATTATTAGAATACCAATTTCCCACTCCAGATGCTTAGAGAAAATGTTTACATTTTACGTATGGCTGGTCCTCTGTAGCTCAATTGGTAGAGCATGGCGCTTGTAACGCCAGGGTAGTGGGTTCGATCCCCGGGACCACCCATACGTAAAAATGTATGCGCACATGACTGTAAGTCTCTTTGGATAAAAGCGTCTGCTAAATGGCATATTATTATAGTTACAGTACCTTTCCACACTGCAAGCAGACATCAATCTCTTTGGCTTCATGATGCGAGGGGCATCAGGGGATGAAACCGCTTTGTAGGGAAGACAGAAATTGAATAAGTTTACATTTTTGAGAGCAAACAATTCTGAGCCTTTCCATTTTAGAAACATGAAGTAAGACAGTGATCAGTAGTAGCTGCTCATTGTTGGCCAACAGTTGACCAGTCCTCACCTTCCAACCTCCTCTTGAACTGACTAGTGGGGGTTGGAGCAATGAACATCTTGAGTTTGGGGTTGCCGCTGACGACGCTCTCCATGTTCGCTGAAGACGAGGTGGGGATGTTGGGCACAGACGACATTCTCTCCATGTTAGTCTTGGCTGGAGTCTGGTGCAGGGGGGTGGCTTTGGCCGCCAGTTCAGCTCTCTTCAAAGGGGTGGACTGAACAGTTTTAGACCGGTCTGGCTCAGAGGGCTTCCTTCCCTGGGCTGAGATGGAGCGGCGTGCCCCTGTGGTGGAAGAGGGCGGCTCCGGAGCTCGGCCGATGACGGTAGACCTGCGGGTCTTGGTGGCACTCACACCAGGATTGGTGAGTCGGTTCTTGCCAGTGGGCAGGCGGCCATTAGGGCCACTGATGCTGGAGTTGAGGGACATGTTAAGTTTACCTAAAATCAGAGACAGTTCAGATATTTGTATTGCACTTTCCATACACATCACATCTTTGAAATGGTTGAACTGTAGAAAGCACCTTGAAAATACACTGTAAAGGAGACAGGGCTTGTGAAGCGCTACACAGGCCTCACCTTTCCCTGTGGGTGACACAGAGAGACTGGAGTTGAAGCTGGACACAGAGGAAGAGGAGGACGATGTATTTCTCCTATGGTCAGTCACTCTCCTGGTCTGAGGAGGGGGGGCTTTGAGCACTGACAGAGCCCGCATCCCACTCTGAATAGGACAAGGACATTCATGTTTCAACACCTGCCATTTTATCAGAGGGTATTCACATCTTTTATCATCTGATCTGAATCTCATACTTATATGAATGAAGAATCCGGCATAAATGTACATTTCTGATTATATCACCAAAATCCTCTGGGTTACCTTGCTAGGGGGTACGAGGGTCCTCTTCCCCTGCAGACTGGAGTTGAGGGAGGTGTCACTGATGTCGGAGGACACGCTGGCCGTGTCAGAGAGAATGTCCTCACAGGAGGCTGCTCTGCTGGAGGTACGACTACCCGGGCTACGCCTCAGCCCCAAGTTACCCTGAAAGAAACAGACTACATGAGTTGAGAAAACTTTCTCCAGTATTGATTTGACCTTAGACCATACCGAATGATCGAGGCTATGTGGCTAGATATCTTCTAAGATCCCTAGTGCCCATACTTTGCTTGGAGGAGGCAGCATGGTGGTCCTCTCGGCAGGCGCTGGTTTAGTCTTGGCTGTATGCAGGGCTGTCGTCGCGGTCGCTCCTCGGGCTGCTGGTTGTTGTTTTCTAGGGAGCACTCCGGTGTTGCAGGCCAGCCCCACCCTGCCTCGGCGCACCATCTTGGGCTGAGTCATAGTCCCCGCTCTCACAGGGCTGGAAGTGCCAGCACTGCTCTTATTGGAGTTAGAAACTCCACCAGCCCTTAATAGCCGCTGCTGAATAGCAGGAGGGAGCTGCTTCAATGGACTGTCCTGGACACAGAAGGTCTCCCTTTTGATAGGGCTGAGCACAGCGTCAACTGGCTTTCTGAACATGCCCAGTTTGGCCCCAGCATCCTGCACAAAGTCCTCTTTCGATTCCTCTTTACTCACTGTGAGTGTACCATTGGTTTCCCCTACATCAGGGTGCTGCTGGTTGACTACTAGTTGACTGGCTAGTAGGTGGGCTTCCTTGCAGATTTCCTCAAACTTGTCCTCAGCCAAAGGACTCCAGCTGGTCCTCTCACCCACTGAAGGCCAACTGCTGACGCTTTCCTTGACAATGGTCTCCAGACCGACGGAAATACACCTCTCCTTGTGACAGACAGGACCCACAAAGACCTCGTCATCGTCTTCATCTCCTCTTGAGCTTTAAACAAGGGGGATTGATTTTACAAATGTTATTTTTCATATGTAAGTGAAGGAAAATTTCCCATGTAAAATGTATAGACAATGGTAGTATCAAATACACAGACAACTGATTTTGAGTTCAATGGCAATGCATTCAAGAGAGAAATACATGCAAACCAAATACAAATAAATGGAAATCAAAGATATCTATGACACCAACCTCGCAGGTGACAGTGAAACGTCAAAATCAAACTTCTCTTCAGCCAATGAGAAAAAATCTTGGGGAAAAGGAACAAGGAAATTAAAACAAACAATGCAACAAACAATTAAATCCTTTGATAGGAAGGACAGTGTTTTTGTCTCCCTACTAATAGTACATGAGCCATGGTGGTTGTTCGGGCTCACTTTGGGTGAAGATGTCTCAGTGATTTTCGTGAAGGTCTAGTTATGTCCATAGTTGTCACAATCATATACGACGTCGTCAACCCAAGTGAGCCCGACGGCCCAAATTTGGGGGTCTAGCTCATGGACTATAACGTTAAATAGTTGACAATGTGACTATCAATGGTATAAATTACATAGTTAACAAAAAATAAGGATAAGAAAGCTGAGCTACCACTGTTGGCATGGGAATCCATACTCCTCATGGGACAAGCAAGGACAGGTCGCTAGGGTCCACAGGGCAGATGTCGTAGTAGGTTAAGGCTAGTCGTCCTTCATAGGGAAATTAGAAAATTGAAAACGTATGAAAAACAGTGTGATATAACGTTAGCTTTTAGCTAGCTTCTGTAGCTAATAAAGCTACGTTACTCTTAACATGAACTAACGTTAGCTAGCTTTGACAGACTAGCATGTATTATGGGCATAACTAGCTAACATGTCAGGATTAATTTACATGGTTGGTTAGCTAGCTAACTTTAGCCCAATCCTTACTTCAGTTGGTAATGTATTTGTGGCAGTTTAAAAATGTAGCTAGCAGCAATCTAGCTAACGCGTTAGCTGGCACCACACACAATACAATGCATCTAACTAGCTAGGTCGTATGGACGAATTTCGTATTTCCAATACATCAAAAGCACCTACCGTCTTATGTTTGTAATTAAATAGTTTGCTTGCTATCTTCTGCTAAATCGATGTCATTCAGTTCAACATCTGTCTCAAAAACATGCATTTGGTCCGAGAGGAAGAGATATTTCAAATTTCGTGAACAAACAAGTTCATGTGACATGCAGGCTGCATCGACATTGGTTGAAACGTCTGGCAGAAGCGACACCAGAGCGCTCACGGGAATTGTAGTGATTTTGCCTTTACATTAGACTGGCCAAGAACAGAAAGATAAAGTAAGTTTTTTTTTTATAGGGGGAGGGTATCTGTACTTACTTTAGTATTTATATTCCTAACAACTTTAATTTTTACTCAACTAGCTACATTCCTAAAAAAAAAATATGTACTTTTTACTCTGATACATTTATTTTTCCTGGTGGAGACTACTCTTGCAGGACAGCAACATAGTCCCATTCACATGCTTATCAAGAGAACGCGCAATCATCCCTTCTGTTTCGCCTCTGGCATAGCTGCATTGGTAAATAGCATCTGATTCTGAGTGTTGGAGTAGCCTACCTATTTGAGAACAACTTTATAAAACAAAAAAAACTAATTTGGCCAACTGTGGCAGCGGTAGCCTCAGAGAAGCGGGCCACCGGAGGGTTGCAAGTTCGAATCCCAATGCTGATGGAAATACATCTGTCGGGTGTGAGCTATCAACCGGAACGTAGCTGGCATCAACATATCAGCTGCCACTAACTGCCGATGTGCCCTTAATCAAGACCCTGTTGCTCCCATCCTGTTTGTGTAGTTGTGTGGTACCGGTTTACCCTGTGTATGGACCAATAAAGATTGTATTTTAATATAAGGGATTTGGATTTACAGTATTTAGTTTTATACTCAAGTACCCTACATTTAAAACCACTTTCTGACTTTTATCAAGTATTTTAAAGGTGCTACATCCTAAATGTCTCACCCATGTGGAAGCTAGGTGAAGTAAAAAAAAAAATAAAAAAAAATAATAATAATATATATATATATATATATATATGTGAAAAATGTATGCGCTCTACTGTAAGTCTGTCTGAATAAGAGCATCTGCTAAATTACTAAAATGAATGGAAAAGCATTACAGGTAAAGCTGGTTGAGAGAATGCCATGAGTGTGCATGTTCAAAGCTGTTATCTAGGCAAAGGGTGGCTACTTTGAAGAATCTCAAATATAAAATATATTTTGATTTGTTTAACACTTTCTTTAGTTACTACATGATTCCGTATGTGTTATTTCATAGTTTTGATGTCTTCACTATTATTCTACAATGTAGAAAATAGTACAAAATAAAGAAAACCCCTTGAATGAGTAGGTGCATCCAAACTTTTGACTGGTACTGTATATATATATGAAAAATGTATGCACTCTAATATAAGTCGGTGTGGATAAGAGCGTCTGCTAAATGACTAAAATGTCAAAACAAAACCAAAAGGGAATTGCAACAACACTTAGGCTGAATATAAACAACTCTCCCGCATCCCATTTCCCCGCAACAAGGTGGAGAGGTTAGTGCTATCCGACATCCCAAGGATCCAGGATAGCATGGACCATGGTGGTTATGTCCTAAGGATTCCAAAGAGCATGGACCAGGCTGGGGCCTATTTTACTTTCTGTTTTTTTCCACCAACTTCAAACAGCCGTAAAAACGATATTTTGTGTTATAGAAAATATATTTCACAGCAATTTAGATGGTACAATGATTCCCTAAACTATTCAGTGCTTTTTTTCTCACATAACTGAAATTGAAGAGTGTAGAATTTTAGCAGCCAGTCTGCCATTGTTCGTTGTGCTCAAGGAGATGACCACACTTTTTAGTGATGCCAATATAAGAGAGGGAGGGTGCAGTTTTCCCATCTCTGGCCTGGCTTTTGTTGTCAGAAAGTCTGCATTTTAAAATGCGATTTTGTATTGGCCCAAAATGTGTGTTTTCTTGTGTGAAAAATATTGTGAAACACTATCATTCCACTATTACTGCATATATATTATGGACATTTTCTGAAATTACAATCCCAAAATTCTACATTTAATGAGGGATTTTTTGCTTTTACGTGAGTCATTTTCTGTTAAGGAATTTCACTTAAACTCAGGTATGACAATTGGGTACTTTTTCAATAATAGACTATTATAATACTAGCATTGCAAACAACAGGGATAACCAGATACCAGTTGGCCTATATGGTGTGGTGTGGATTTTTTCAGAGATACTGATGGCCAAATTCAATAGCCTTTTTCAATGAACTGAGTGTTGCAACAATGACTGAATGTTGAGAAAAAGTGAAAAATATAGAGGACAGATTCAAAACCATTTAGGTAAGCTAAATATTCATATTTTATTTTCAAAAACCATACACATTACTCAACAAGTTTAAAAAATGAATATCGACCACAACAACCATTTACACTGCTCAAAATAAACAGACACAAAGTACTTTATTACCAAATATTGAGATTAAAAAAAAAATCCTTAAAGAGGTGGATAAACATTCATTCCCAATGTGGAATGAAACTACAGAGAAACAAACAAAAGTTGCCTATGTAATCTTTCTTCATTTTTTACCACCTACAGTACTTCCATTGGATTGGGATTTATACCTTCTTTCTTCTTACTGTCTTTAGATGAAGTTTGTAATTGCAATACAGGGAAGAAATCCCAAGTAAATATGTCATCAAATTAACTGAGACCCTGACCTGGGCCAGTATCCACAAAGCATCTCAGAGTGGGAGTGCTGATCTAGGATCAGTTGGACCTTTTAGATCATAATGATCAAGATAATATGGACATATCCTAGATCAGGACTCCTACTCTGAGATGATTTATGGATATGGAACCTGGATTCCAGAAACATAGAATTGGTCCTGTACTGTGAAAATGTAACAGAACCATCTCCACACCCCAGGACCACGTTTTTTGGTTTGGCATTCCAGGTTTTTTGGTTTCTGTGTTTGTTTGAATAGCACCCAATGACACAGGACGCTACAATCCTGTCAACCAAAAGCAATTCACTGGGTAAACATGTAGGCTATTTCCAATGAGATAAATTGTGTTTTTACTGTAGGCTTGCCAAAAAACAAACTCTGTTTTGAGTCCTTTTCAATCCTGTCTCCCAAATGATGATACCCTGACTTTTGTGAGGGATGAAAACTACTTAGTTTTCTCGAAGAAGATACAAAGCTAGGCTATATTTGACAAAATATCAAGTCTCCCTGAAGGAGGTTTAGTGCAGTAAAGTACTCTGTGCTGAGAGTCTCATCCCCTGTGTCTTGAGTAGTTTATATGTTTCCTGGAGGGTATTTCACAAAGCAGAATCAATATGGTAGTCAGTTCACGGGAGAGGTCAAATTGAAATGGGCATCAATGGGTAGGGATTACTTTATCAACTCACTGTACATGTTAATGATGTGGAGAATCAAGTTATATCAGTTAGCTGGGCAAACCCATTGATCCTATTTTGTGAAATACAACCCAGGTCATCAAAACCATTCAACACATTGAACGTCTTTGAATTAGGTGGTTTTTGATCAGACAACAACCTACTCCTGATATATTTTTTTTTATGACTTAAAACCAACAATACACTCGCTTTACATAATTATCTCTACAGACACATTTGAAACAGTAACTGGTTTCTCCCCTCGTTGTCTGTCATGTACAGTATGTATAGTATCCTTGATTCATAATGAGCCTTTCCATGAAGTCGGTGCTTATCATCTGTGGTCTAGATGTAAAGCACTAGTGACACAAATAGAAGTTCCACTTTCTAGTAAACATGACGTTTTGGAATGATTTGGGAACAGAGTGAATATTTACAGTGTGGAATTGTGTACATGGATATTTGTGGCCGTTTTCCAGTTATCCTAACCTCTCCTAATAGACCATAAAACCACTTTCTTACACAAGTTTCTACACAAGTCTTCTTATTGTGCTAGAAATGTCTATGTACCTAGAAAAATACATACCAAATAGAACTTGCAGGCAAAATAGTTCAGTTTCAATAGAAACGTGTTTTCTCCTAAAAGACAGCAATATCTAAAATACAGTATATATATTTTTAATTTCACAGCCCCACGTTGTACATGTTATTACATAGGTCTTTCACGGACAATCAAAGTTTCACAAACGTGTAAACAGGTCTGCTTTCACAACATGAATGAAATCTTAAAAATATACATAGCCAATGCATTAATTCTTTAGAAGTACTGCTGATGTACAGCAATGCATCCCAGCCTCCCTGTTCATTCAATTACTTATTTTTAAGCGTAGTCTATAATTCTTTCAATCAAAATGTGCACCTCTCTCTCGATACAAGACCCTAAAATCTTAAATATCTGATGTCCTCCATTCCAGTCCAAACCAAAACTTCTAGAAGCCCCCTCTCCCCACGTCTTGGTATTGTTAAGTGGGCTGAGGTCAGTGGGCCATTACTGGTACTAGGGCCCAGCTCAGAGGGAGGTCTCCAGGCTGTTCAGCGGGCTCCCAGGGCACGCCGGAAGCACGGCACTCTCAGGATACCCGCTAATCTTTGGGCTGTCCTTGTGGAGGGGGATGACCCTGTCCACAGCGTTATTGTTCTGGTTGGGCGAGGACGGGAGGGTGGCCAGCGTGGAGTGTGGGGGCAGAGTCTGTGCAGCGTTGCGCTTGGTGGGAGCATCATCCTCCCCCTCTGTGTCGTCGATGAGCGGGATCTGCGGCTGTGAGTCTTCTATCCGGAACTCCGGGGTGTTCATGAAGTTGTGGATGGAGTTGCGGGACTCCGGGGTCTCCAGGCCCTCGTAAGGGGACATAGTGTCTCGGAAGGCATTCACTACGCGGATCTGGACAGTTTGGGGACAAAGACAGTCAAAATATGAGTATTGAGACCCCAACGAAAGTTAATAAAGCACAATCCTGAGTTTGTGTCCAGGCCAATGGTAGCTATGGTTTGGTGTAAAGCTGACGGATGATTGTGAGCTGAGATTTAAATAGTGAGTTGACCATACATACCTGAGTCTGGATCCTGCCTAGACCTCTGCACCAGAGCACCTGTCCCCTCCTCATCTCCATCTCAGCGTGGTCGATCTCGTCCAGGTCCTCCATCTCCTCCAGCTCCTCCTCAGGGATCTCCTCCTGCTGCGTGCCATGGCCTGCAGACTTCAGGAACTTCAGACGGCTGGTGGGGACAGTGGTGACCACCTATAAATGAGACACAAACTCAAATGTTGAACTCATTTGTGACAAAACTTTTTTGGTCACTTCATAACAGGCAAGTAGATCACAGGGACTTTGAAGGACATTAGAAACCTGCAAGAAGCTCACCTGGCCCCACAGAAGACATCCAAAGCCCAAGAAGACACACCAGAGCCACTGGTCTATGGTGAGGCCCACACAGCTGAAAGGTTTCCCTCCAAACTGCACAATCACAATCTGGATGACAAAACACAGGGTGATTGGAGAGCAATGTTACTTTCTGTCCAATATGAAATCCCCTGTGTGAATATCCTATATGGATCTGAATGCTGCTCACCTGGATGATGAACGTTCCGAACACAATGGAGCAGAAGATCATGTTTTTGAAGATGCCGTCAAAGACGTTGCGCTCGCCGTGGATCTTGCGGGCGTTGATCTCGTTGAAGAGTTGCATCATGACGAAGGTGTTGAAGACAATTGTGTAATGTTCTGAGGGAGGGGCGTGGAGTGGCGCGTACCTCCCACTGTCAATGTCGAACATCTGCTCCCCTGTGGTGGCAACATACAGATGCAGTGCATACTGACAAGGCCCACTGGAGACCAGCAGTACGGATCACGTAATCCAATACATTTGCTTTCATAATTTTATCAAGAACAGAGTTGGATTCCATAGAGAGAAGAAAAATACATAAATTTTTATGTCAATGTCCAATTGGCACGACTAACTGAATTGACCCCCAGGTGGTACTCACCGGCGAACAGCAGAGTGAAGATGATGGTGAGCTGGTAGACGGCGTGGCCCAGGATGTTCTTCATCATGGTTCGAGAGATGAGGGGCTTGTTGCGGCCGTACGGCTTCCTCAGCAGGAGAGACTCGGTTGGGGGTTCAGTGGCCAGGGCCAGCGAGGCAAAGGTGTCCATGATCAGGTTCACCCACAGCATCTGGACAGCTTTGAGAGGAGAGTCCTGGGGAGATGTAGTTTGAGTTATGTATAGCTCTCCACTTTTCAAAGACAGTTGTAACTTGTGGAGTAGGTAATAAAAACTCCCTATAGGCAGTTAGACTCTCTCTATGCCTCACCTTTACAAGCAGAAAGGCAAGATGGGAAGGATGGACATGACAGAAATAGAGAGTGTCTCACCTGTGTGATGCAGGCTCCGGTAAAGGCCACGATGACAGCCACCACATTAACCGTCAGCTGGAACTGGAGGAACTTGGAGATGCTATCGTAGACGTTCCGCCCCCACATCACCGCCTTCACGATGCTGCTGAAGTTGTCGTCTGTCAGGATGATGTCTGAGGCCTCTTTGGCCACGTCCGTGCCTGCAATGCCCTGTGGGCACATCATGTCACAGCGTATTAGTCACAGCACCAAAAGTACCCGTCTGATTGAATCAGAGAGAGAACTATTCATGGAATATTGATGGGATATAACATGTGCCAGATCTTGGAGTATAATAATACTATACCATGGCAAATCCAACATCAGCTTTCTTCAAGGCAGGGCCGTCATTAGTACCATCTCCTGTTACAGCAACAACTTGCCTTGGTTCTAGTACAGTGCTATCCATTATACCTGTGAACAGAGGCAAGCATCATCTCTTTAGATAATAATGTGAGACCTAAACATTTATCTGTAACTTTCCAAAGATAGGGATAAATGGAAAAAATAACCCCCAAACATACCTTTCACTAAGGTATGTTTGTCAGTGGGTGAGGATCTTGCAAGCACACGGAGTTTGGGCCAAATCTTATCAATGCGCTCCTGCTCAATCTGGAAGTAGACAGTTCCTTGGGTTACTCTATCATCCCAATTATTTTTAACAGAAACAGTTCCATTTTGTGAGAGGACGAGAGGAATATTACCTCTCCCAGTTCGTTTCTTATTCGTCGGTTGAACTCTTTGCCGTCTATACAGAGGAAGTCCTCTCCGGGCTGCAGTATGCCACACTTGCTAGCGATGGCCCGAGCCGTGTTGATGTTGTCCCCTGTGACCATGCGCACCGTGATGCCAGCGCGCTGACACCTCTTAATGGCGTCAGGGACCTAGGGTGGAAGAAGAATACCTTATTGTCAATTTTTTGTCTTCCGAGTATGGAAATGTGTGTTTTGCTTATAATCCAACGCCCCAGAGACACACTCACAAACACCTGCTTTCCTCTTCAGGGTGATTATACATGTACATTGTTGAGGGTTATGGCACCACAAACATCTATCTCCTTGAATTAATTGGACCTTTGCAACAAGGACCTTGTTTGGGCTCCACTGGCCCTTTTACCTCTGGCCGTACGGGGTCCTCGATGCCCACCACACACAAACAGGTGAGGCCGGTGAGGATGTCAGTTTCGTTGTCCCAGTCAGGCTCGCCGTCGGCCAGGGGGAAGTCCCTGTAGGCCAGGCAGATGGTCCTGAGGCCCTCGGAGGCCATGGGCTCGATCACCTTCTTCACCACGTCGTCTCTGTCCCTGGGCTTGAAGACCTTAGCCTCCCCGTTCGCTGTCATGATCTTACAACACCTGCGTTGAGATAAAGAGGGGATTTATATTAAGTTTATATTTATATTAGGTTTCTGACAAATAATACTGGGCAAGTTAATATGTTGAGTTAATTTGCACGAAAGGGAAAAACTGAAAGTGCCGGCCTACTTCTTCAGGAGGATCTCTGATGCTCCTTTGCTGAACATGCGGTAGCTCCCATCTGCGTTCTTCAGCACAGTGCTCATGGACTTCCTGACTGAGTTGAAGGTGTAGACCTTGAAGAGCTTCTCCTCTGGGATCTCATTGCGGATGGTCATATAGTCCCGTCTCAGATCCAAGACAAAGCCCAGCAAGGCACATTCGGTCTTGTTGCCCACTTGGCGGGGCAGCCCACCCTCCTTCTCAGGAGACTGAGACAAACCATTTACACGTTAAGGTCAGTTCCAAACTTCAAATCAGCTAACATAAATGAAATGCTTTACAAATATTTCACATTGATATCAATGCGTGATCGAAATGAAAGTCTGAGTACCCAGATCTCAAGAGGATTTGGCTCTGGCACTCAATGTATTTGCTCAGATGTCAATAAAAGATTGCCATGAAAAGAGCTTTATTGCAAATCTATTTGTGTTCTGTTTGCCAGAGTTGAAAACCTAAACTCAGAGTGAAATATTTTCACTTACCATGATCTTGGAAGTGTAAGCACAGTTGACTCCGATGCCCATAATGAGCAGGTCCAAGACTTTGCCTGGGATGAGGTCAGGCTCAGGAACCACCCTGTAGTGCCTGTCTCCCAGATAAGCCTGGACCACGGTCATCCTGTTCATGGTTAATGTCCCCGTTTTGTCAGAGCAGATGGCTGTGGCATTGCCCATGGTTTCACAGGCATCCAGGTGCCTCACCAGGTTGTTGTCTTTCATCATTTTCTAAGGAAGAGAGGAGGTTATTATTTGTGATCTGGCTATGTGTTTCTTAATTACTACTGTCTGAATTATACATACTGTAGTAACATAGTAGTGATACCTACTTTGACAGAGTAGGCCAATGAGATGGTGACGGCCAGGGGGAGACCTTCGGGCACGGCCACCACTAGCACAGTTACGCCAATTATGAAGAACTTGACGCAGAACTGAATGTAGATGGGTGTGCAGTCTGCGACCCATGGTAGGCCCTGGATCCAGAAAGTGTCCACCATAAACAGAGTTATCAGGATGATTACTGTCAATCCCGACATGAACAGGCCTGGACAGGGGAAAGGATAGAAGTGAACACAATGAAAGAGGAAAATCTGCTGTGGAAATCAAACACACTTTCACAATTCCAAATTTTGCTTGGCTGAAATAGAGGGCTTCCCTTGTGATGGTCTTACCTGCTTTGCCGATCTGTACCGCTAATTTGGTCAACTTCCCCTGGAGCACAGACTTCTCCTTCTTTGGTAGGTTGGCTTTCTTCTTCTCCTCTCCTCCATCGTCACTGTTTAGGGGCTGCATCTCCACGCCTGCACCACCCTTGGACTTACCTGAGGGAGTTGAGAGGATGGGTTCAAATGACATTAAGTTGAAATAGAGACATTTTGGGAAACATCGGGTTCACATCTAATTCACAACAGAGATGACAAATGTATAACTATACTCCCTGAATAACTATACTCTGTGAGAAACTATACTCACTGAGTAACTATGCTCTCTGAGTAACTAACTATACTCCATGAGTAACTAACTATATGCCCCAATTATCTAACTATTCTCCCTGAGTAACTAACTATTCTCCCTGAGTAACTAACAATACTCCCTGAATAACTAGACTCCCTTAGTAACTAACTATAGTCCCTGAGTAACTAACTATACTCCCTGAATAACTAGACTCCCTTAGTAACTAACTATAGTCCCTGAGTAACTAACTATACTCCCTGAATAACTAGACTCCCTGAGTAACTAACTATAGTCCCTGAGTAACTAACTATACGCCCTGAGTAACTAGACTCCCTTAGTAACTAACAATACTCCTTGAGTAACTATCTGCCTGAGTAATTATACTCCCTGAGTGTAAGGCATAAGGTAAGGCATAAGGCACTAAAAACCAGGATAAAACTATTTCTACACTATCAATACTGTAATAATAATAATAATAATAATAATATAACATACAATGTAACATTCCCTTCAGTTCTCTCTTTATTTTTACCAGATATATTAGATAAAAAAGGCAAACATTAGCAAACATGAGCACCTCATAATACAATAATTGTAATAAGAATTGCTGATGCATCCAATTAACAAATAATTAAAACGGGGGAAACAAAATAGTACATTGATGTGTAAGGATTCATAGTTGGATGGCAGGGGTTGTTGATACTGCATGGAAATGGATAGGGGGTGCTATTCTATGTAATACACCACAGTGACACTATGGTGTTTGGCTCACAGTCTTTAATCCTAGTCTGGGGATTATTGCTCTTTCTTGGCTGAGATTCTCTACAAGCCAATCCAACTACCATCATCCCAAAACATGCCCACGTTCTGTAATTGTACAAACACACACGCACTAGAACCTTAAATACTCAACACGTTAGTAAGTGAAGTAAAGGGACATTGTTCATCCAGGCAAATGTGTGAGTGAGCGCGCGTGTGTGTGAGTGTTTAGGTGTGCTGATCCGAAAAAAGTACAGGTTGTTAGCTAAAGGAAGAAAAGCAGAGGGGGAAAGCAGCTGCTGAGATTAAGAGCTGTAATCTCCTTGGTCCTAATCACCATGAGCGGAGTCAAGAGCACCTGCTGCTCGAACCCCAGGGACATACACATTACCATATGCCCTCAGGGACACACAGGGCCGCACCGGCGGCTGGAGCGATTGGTAGCGAGGCCTAACTCAGACTTTACACACCTCACGCAGACCAGACCATACAGATTCTATATAAACACACAAACCAAACTAGACAGTACTCAGTATAAACACACCATGGTCGTGAAGTGCACACAAATAAAAACTATATGGTTCAATATAGATATAACACACAATAACAAACCTACCTTTCTTGTTTTTCTCCTCCTTTTTATCTGTGGAGACAAATAAATGACTTAATAACTTGTCCATTTACACATCAGCAAACAGCTTCTCACTTTTGCAGAGTGGCAAAACACTTCTAGTTGTAATATGTTCCCTTGGATGTGAGTTTCCTTGACGGCTAGCCCTTACACATCGCATTGGAAACTAAGAGGTGTGAATGCTCTGACATGCATTCCTGTCTCAACTCCCTAATACTGTTCTCCCTCACTATGAGAATCCCCTGATCAATGATACTGGGATTACAAACTTAAACACAATGCTCCCCTAACACTCTTGGCAGGAAGCTAAGGACCAGGTTGTTTAATTCACAGGCAGTAACTGTTGTTAGCCTGGGTGTAGCAGGAGAGGTTCATGGTCCAACTGACCCAACTACAGCCAGTTAAGCAACTAGGATGTTAACCAACTGAGATGTTAACCAACTGAGTCTGCATATTCTATAGTGCTCCCACATGCTGTTATTAACCTGCACCACAATTCAGCTATAGAAACTCGGTCTGTGTATTGTGGTGTAATGTGGGAACTTTGTTTATTCATAGTGTTTTTATCATTGGCCCAGCATCTGAGTGGAAAAGTTGAATGTGCATGTCACTCACACACCATTGGCAGACACATCTTATCATTCAAGATGGTTGAAACCTTTTCAGGCATTTTAATAGATGACCCAAAACCAAAAACTCTCATGATTCATCGACCACTTCAGTTAATAAAGAATGAATAACCTTGTCTGACACCCCCTCTATGGAAGCAAATAGCTTTATGTCATGCCACTGGCAAAATGTAGCAAGAGTATGCCTTATAGGATTAAGGATAGCATAATGGAATAACACTTGTTGGACAGGGTTTTTCAAAACAATTCCATTTTACGTTTACTCCTATGGTGAGTTTCAATCAAAAGCAAGTAGGTCTATACATAACAGTTAATACAATGGACAGAGGTGAGAGGGTTTGCATGACACGTTTAGTGACAGATGGCTATGAAAGGACAGTTCAGGTCAACATACTTTTCTTGTCCAGTTTGTCCTTCTTCTCCTTCTCCTCTTTCTTCTTCTCCTCTTTCTCCCTCTTTTTTCTTTCCTTCTCTGCCTTTTCGTCCTCATCGTCATCTTCGTCTTCTTCGGCTCCAAGCAGTGTGAAAATGATGCCGGTCTGGGAGTTGACACCTACTGCTGTGATCAGTATCTTCCCAGAACCTTCCATGACGTGGGTACCTGACGAAGAAAAAGACAGACATGGACAGACATGGACAGACATGGACAGACATGATCGCAGGAACCTAAACAATGGAATCTCTCCAACTAAAATGGGATGGTCATTTTTCCGATTTGTATTACATTTCTGAGATAAGTGAAGAGGGGCGTCTGTTAAATATTTAATTAAATATGTAAATAAACTTGTATGGCCTAACAGTATCTATGCAGGAATAGAGAGATCATGCTGTTTCAAGTAGCTGTTGACTCCTAAGAGCTCTTAAGAAGAGTGATTGACAGTAATAGGAAAAGGCTATAAGGACACGCCTGACGCCCTAAACAGATATTTAATTTCAGAATTTATTAAAATTAGGTTAAGTTTAGGGTTACGAGGTAGGGTAAGGGTTAGGGTCAGTGATAAGGGTTTGGCTAAGGTTAAGGTAAGGGCCAGTTTTAAGTTTTGGCTAGTCGGTTTAAGAGTCAGCTGTGTCCTTATAGCCTCTCCCACAGTAATAATATATGCCCGGCTACTTGGGTCATGATAAACATGAGTAGTAATGTTGTTATTCTCTGCTTGAGTAGGAACGGAGGTTACATAGGGAGGCTGAATTGGAAATAAATTCATTTTTATAAAAATTAAATAAAGAAAAGCCACAATGGAAAATCAGATGGTCCATTCCCACGGGGGGCCAGTATGAAAAAAAAATATATATAAAAAAATTATATATACAAAAAATTAAAATGTATGCACTCACTAACTGTAGGTCACTCTGGATAAGAGCGTCTGCTAAATGACTAAAATGTAAATGTAATTCCATCACCTACATCCCCATTCATTAACTTTTTGTTGGGATGCCTGCCAGTGCCACAGCGACTACAGTATTTCAAGGGAGAAAAATAAGTGCCTTCATCCATTATCATCTCTTAGGGAGAGTAGTATTCTACAAACAGGGAGACCCATGTGGTCGTGTTGTGCAGTGGCAGTCAAGCCTTAAAGCTACAATCCTTGAGGAAGTTTGATTAAAGTGATGCTCCAAAGGTTTTGTATAATTTCACTACTTATATAAGTAGTGCTCACGACTGCATCTTTAAGTGCACGGGGCTATGGCCCATGGCGTGAATGGGCAAAAGTGGTGAGGGTGGAGCGCCCATCTCAAATCGAACAGTAATCTGTTGTCAACAAGACAGGATGATGCATCGTTCAGAAACCATAAAATATATGTTCGAATTTTCAAACTACTTTTCATTGAGAAGGCAGATAAAGCCTGTTTATCAAAATCAATCATGTTTGCATGTGAAAACACAGAATCCTACTCATTACTCCACATGCTTAAAACTATGTAACTTTTGTTTTGAGCCAACTTCACCGTTGTCCAGAACGAGGGCACCTGGCTTACGCCTGGGAGGCAACCCAGTTCCAAAATGAATGCAATCAACGCTAACCTGCTTCACCCGGGACATGCCCGGGGCATTAACAGAACTCCCTCATTAATTACAACAATAACAAAGCGGTCACCCCACCTCTGTTTCTGTAAAAAGCTGAGGGATGGGCCTGGATAAATGTAACCACTCTCAAATTCATAGACCGAGCAAGGGATGCAAGGACTGATCATCTATGATATCAAAAGTACAGTTCTAACCATGTTTTGAGGCTATACAGTGTTTGTTCACATTTACGAAGTTTACAGTTGCAAAGTAGCAGCAATCTGATCTTTTGGTATTTGACTGAGTAAATATGAATCATCTGGTGATTAATCCGTTAGAGGACCAGGCATGTTTCTGTAAAAAGCTGAGGGATGGGCCTGGATAAATGTAACCACTCTCAAATTCATAGACCGAGCAAGGGATGCAAGGACTGACCATCTATGATATCAAAAGTACAGTTCTAACCATGTTTTGAGGCTATACAGTGTTTGTTTACATTTACGTTGTTGACAAACATTGGAGTAAAACAAGCTTCTGATGGGGTACGACAGCTGAACTAAGCTCATGAGGCATTTATAAGTAATTTTTTCAACAATGGGTATATATCATTAATTTATAAGTGCAAACATTTACTTAGCATCTAAGGATTCTAGCTTTAAAGGGGAGTGATACCACTTGGCGTTATTCAGTTTGATCCATATTGGATCTGTAACTAGACATCAGCCATATTATATGGAGAGAGGAAGGCTCTTCATCATTACCTGACAGCAGCATGGGATCGTTGTCCAACGTCTTCTTGACATGGTCAGATTCACCGGTTAGAGAGCTTTCATCGATTTTCAAATCATTTCCCTGGATCAGCACACCATCAGCAGGAAGAAGGTCACCTGGAAAAACGTACACATACATGAACATCAGACTGTTCAGCTGGGTGAGTTAGCTCATTTACCCAAGATTCAGTCAGAGTAGTGGAAAGAAGTAGGATTGAAGATGCTCTTTGGTTTTAAGGCACACACACATATGCAAGCTAGCCCACGGACACCACACACACACACAAATAAACACAGAAGGGCATTTTTCTTTCAGGATCATACCATATTTCACTTGTGCAACATCGCCGACTACGATCTCAGCCACGTGGATCTGGATGACTTGGCCTCCGCGGACCACTGTAAACTTCTGCTCCTGTTCGATGCGGCTCTGCAGCCCGCGGAACTGCTTCTCTTTACTCCAGTCATTGAACGCTGTCACCAGGACCACACAGACGACCGACAGGAGGATGGCTGCACCCTCAATCCAGCCCGCGTCTGCCTCCCCCTCATCCTCCACCCCTCCCGCTGCCTTTCCACAATCTAAAAGAAAGGGACAGTTGTCACTATCTGGACGTGCTACAAAGGACAGAAGTACTTCGCATTCCCTCTAGAATTGTGTTTTTAAGCCTCGGCCTAACCCTAAATTGAGGACAAATAGCTCATTAATTCTGATGACATTGTCAATTTTGTCTTTGGTAGCATGGCCATTACCCAAAGGGTCCCACAGAAAGTAGCCTACAATGATTATATGACAGGAAGTACACTGTCTGGATCACAGGAAGTACACTGGCTACCCACTACTGCCACTGAAGTCCTTTGTGGAATGGGATTATGGATTGATTGAAGTGTATCAGAGTAAATCCCTTTATGATTAGATTAGATAATGGGCAGGATACTCACACTTTGTACCAAACTATATCTCTTTGGGTCAACAAAGTCAGAGACTTGATGTTAAACAAAATTGTGACCATCCCCGGGAAGACACAGCAACACAGTGCCATCTGAAATTAGAGCTGCTTGTTTTGGCCTGCAATGAATTCCCAAGTGTCCGTCCAATAACCAATTACCAGCAACTGCACAAACCAGACGCATGTATGGCTGCATGCATGAAGTTTACAGTTGCAAAGTAGCAGCAATCTGATCTTTTGGTATTTGATTGAGTAAATATGAATCATCTGGTGATTAATCCATTAGAGGACCAGGCATTTTCAAATTAGAGAAGATACTTACTTTCTCTTTCGGCATCTGGAGGTCTATAAAAGGAAAGGCCTAATGAAATGATGGCTGCCACTTCTAGGATGATTAGTGTCACATCTTGCAATGCTTCCCACACTAATTGAAGAAATGTTTTTGGCTTTTTTGGAGGTATAACGTTCTGTCCAAACTCCTCTTTCCTTCTGGCGATGTCGTCAGCATGCCCTCCTAACCCTAGAGACGAAGGAGGGAAAGGAATTATTAACAACTGTATGGCATTTGTATTGTCTAGAATTCATACAGTATCAGATACAGATGTAGGATCTTAATCTGAGCCAGTTTGCTACAGCAGGAAAATAATACTGCAGCAACAGGAAAGGTGAATTATCATGTGGATTATTATTAATGGACATTTTTGTAGGGAAATTACAAACTTCAGAAGCCTTTTTAAACCTCCGGCATTGCAGGAAAGTTCTGCAACGGGGTGATCATTTGTACATGCATGCCAAAATTAATATAAGAAAAGCTTTACTCTCCCCCCTGGTTGAACTCCCACTTCAGAGCAAAGTAATGCAGACCTTTCTGTTTGAACTTTTCATTATGTTCACACACTGAACAGCAGAAACAGAACCTGTCAAGAACAGTTAGAGCTGTTTGTTTTTTGGAGGCTTTCTAACCTGAAGCCTTAGACCTTTGAGGTGGCTCTGCATGGGCTGTGTTCATGACTAAACCTGACAAAAGGTTGGAGGTCCATGAAAACGGCCCATGGAGTGTTACATCACAAGGGTCTTCAGAAGAGGCTAGCCAAATCAATGCCATTCAAAGCCCTCATCTGCCCTCAAACAACATGCTAGACTCAGCAGTATGTAAAATAGCACTGGCATGCACAAAAAGACCACTCAAAATACTTGCAGTAAGATTGTATCTCAAAACGTTTTTTTTTTACGTTGTCCATGTGATGACGGAGATACTATGCAGATACCAACAGTCAGTATGGGATCCTGTTTAATGATGCACCTGTGAGCTGTAATATTCCAATATCTTTGGTAAGATTTATTTAAGTTATTTTGCAGACAGAAGGTGTCACACCGAAACCACACCAAACCACACCAAAACCTTTTTGATGGACACGTATTCTCGCTGAAAGGTGCTTCATCATGCAACCGGAACTGAGATTGTATTGACTGTACTTTTCTTTACATTTAATCATTGATTCAATGTTTTATGACAAAGACCTACATTTCCATTACGTGATTCTACCTCTGCACCGCTGATAAAGAAAGCAAACCAATCTAATCTCTGAGCCAAATGGACAGGCAAAAGACGTCACACAACAAACTCTATTTATTCCTCTTATATTCTCATTAGATCTAATAGAGATGTCTAGTGGCTCTATGACAATAACAAGTAAAAGGGACAAGAGACAACAGTCTTGTCTATTGACATAGAAGTTACAACTCTGCCCTGAGTATACCTAAAAAGTAATGGTCAGAGACAACAATGTGGTGTGTGAAACAAAGACATTGCTCTGTTGAACATCTGGAGTTTTTCAATCATGCCATGTCAGTTTTAGCAGTTCAAATAATAAGCATTGCTGCTTGTGGGCAAAATAAACTTCAATCGAGGAATGAATACAAATACAGGAAAGTTCAGCTAGTGTGGAGAGATGGTCTACACAAAACAATGAAAAATATTTTGTTTGAATTTGTTTAAAAAAACACAAAAATGATGCTCCAGGAGAATAGCACATTGAAATGAACTTTAATTGTAATCGTCAAGTGAGATTCCTGCTCTTTGAACTAGGGCTGGGAAATATATCGAATTAATTCGATTTTAGCGCGGAATTCCAAATGCCTGTATCGCAATAATTACAATAATACACGTTTTTATAAGTTCATGTCCGCTTGTTCTCAGGTTGTCTCTATTTCTGTGCTGTGTGCACCTTCCCGCTCATACACCAAGCCCCTCCCCCCTTGACATCATCAACCAATTAGTAGACAATTAGTAGGCAATGCCTCCTCATAATTGGTTAAAATCACATGATGCACTGGAAACTCTGATCTTCCTCTATCTTCTTTACTACAAAACAGAAATGCGTCATTTTCACATATGTTGCTGTTGGGGTGGTGCTGGAGATGATGAATATGAAGTTGAAACATTTTGAAATGTCCCTTTAACCTTTCTAATAATAGCCTTTTTATGTCTCAACTCCAGAAATGTGACCCTATTAGCCTATCAATTAACATTGTTTCTGGAAAATTAATGCTCAGTTTCTGTCACGTGCGGCATTGTGGTACCACATTCTGCTAGTAACATTTTAGCCACAGACTGTTAAGTGGTAGCTGTCTAGTCATTGTATAAATGTGCAATGAGCATAAAAATACACATTTATATAAAGAATTAGCAACTCATTCTCATTCTGAGAAATAAGCATCTTCTTATGTGTACAGGTAGGCCACTTGATTTCAACATCTAAACAAAGTGGACAGGCTAGCATGCTGTTCAAACAGTTGGAGACGGACAGGAGGGTGTGTTCATAACAGGTCAACTGTTCTACCTTGTTAGCTAGTAAATAGATCCAAGTTGGCTAGACTTATATAAATATAAATATAAAGATTTATCTGGTTACTCAATAGAATGTGGGCTTGTGCTTGAGAGGTTGTTTATGAGACCTGTGTTAACTTTCTATAATGCCTGCTACCAGAAGTTGGTCATTATTAGTGGGGATGTGCATTGTGCATAGTTCTGATATTTTCTTTTTTACAAAAAGGGCATTTTTATAAACAAACCTGAAAGCCAGATCAGTGATTATTGCAAAGTAGCTGCTTAAACTATTTTGATAAAATAGTTACATTATTAGTGGGTTTGATGGTTGTGGAAGGCTTATATTTAGCCTAGGTATCATTTTACAAGCCCTGAATTCATTAGATCATTGCTGACTGTTTGAAATGCAGTGTCTTGAGCTTTAATTGTATTTAGATAAAACAATTTTTTAGATATAAATTGTGAATCGCCCATACGTTAGAAAAAAAATGGAGATATGATTTTTAGGCCATATCACCCTACTTTGAACTAATATCATGAGACATGACCTATCTTGAATTCCCCCTGGAGAGTTGATGACTCCATCGTTATCACTGCAGAATGGGTCAAATGGCTGCTTGTGTGACTCAAGGCAGCCTGCATCTAGCGCTGCCTAGGCCTTCTCTGACCTCAGTTGAGTTGAGTTATTATGCTTATTCCCTCTAAGCTATTTTGCTTCTTCTGACACTTAAAGGTTAGATTCCAACTCAGGGGAAAAGCACCTGCAGTTATGCTTCATCCTATCACTGAATAATGCTAGACATACAGGCTTTGAGCTGCCACAGCATAAAAAAATGAACAAAAAGGAGGAATAAAAATGTTACACAAGCATGAGAGATTAGTCCTGAACCGAGCAATCAACTGTCATGCACGGGCGTTTAAGGTGAGGGGGATTACACAAGGTAAATCAATCTGCGCCCACCTGTCGCCATTGATTTATAGTGCGGTGGTGCAGCAGTGTATCTTTATGTGTCAGTCTAATGGATTTTCCTATGTTGTCAAGCTGCTTGTGACATTTTAATGCTCTATGTATGTCAATCATGTCTCAGTAGGTGGGTCAGAAATGGTGCGTGACGACAAAATGCTAAAGTTGTTTATTGAGTGTGCATGAGAGGGCCATTGTGAATGAATAAATAATGCCTGGCAAATGTCAAAGGACAGAATCTGACACTGCATGGAAAGCCCTGTCCTCATGGAACTTTGGCTCCAACAGCAGTGAACACTCACCTATAGCTATAAAAAAATAAAATAAAAATAACATGTTTTAAGTGAGATGTAGGCATTGATGTGAAGCCGAAAAAGAAAGAAAATTCAGGAGGACCACAATGCCTACTCCACCCATGCTCTACCAAGGTTTTCCAGCACACAGCTTTGACCTCCTACAGTAGCTATGTCGGTCTATTGTACTTCAAACAATGTGTATGCAGGTTGCTTAGGATTCAAACCTTCTCAAACAGCCTAATTCATACTCTTAGAAGAGGTGATCCCACAATAATGTGATTTGTATCGCATACAAGTATTGGATTCTTCCACACTACACTAATCCCATTCCACTACCTTTTCAAACTTTTTTTAATTATATGAAAGCAAGCTTAGCTTTTATACTTACAAGACCATCATGCTTGATTGAGCGAGCTGTTTTGACTGTATTTCCTTCACCTTTATTTTAGCAATACATGTAATTGAGAAAATAATATTTCATAACATCTTTATTGTAGCTTTGGGTGCCGTGGGGTCGAGCATACGGAGATTACCATGGAGGAACTGGTGGATCAGTTTATCCTCAGCCAGCAGAAGCAACAGGCTCTCCAGGAGCAAGCGCTGGAGGAGCAGCGCCAACAAAACCTCAGACTGGTAGCGGAGGTAGCCCAGTTGAAGGGTGGGATGGCTCAGGAGTCTAGCCCGAATCAGTTCCTGGTCAAGCTAATGGAGGAAGATGACGTGGAGACGTATTTGTGCACCTTCGAGAGGACGGCGCAGAGGGAAGGATGGCCCAAGCCCAAGTGGGCCAGTCTTTTGGCACTCTACCTCTACTTCGACTTGAACGCTGATCAGGCAGCGAATTATGAGGGACTCAAACGCGAGATCCTGAGCCGTTATGGATTCAGCCTTGCACGCTGTGCACAACTGGTCCACGACTGGGCCTTTGACTCCACCATCTCTCCCCGCGCTCAGATGAGCGACCTGGTGCACCTTACCAAGGGCTGGCTACTGACCGACGTACTGTCCCTCCCGATAATCGATAAGGTCGTCCTGGATCGGTACCTTTGGGCCCTCCCCTTCGAGATGAAAAAGGCGGCGAGCCTGCAGAACCCCCAGAGCTTGGAGGAATTGCTGACCGCGGTAGAAACCTACCAGAACACCCAGGATTGCTGAAAGGAGCCAAGGCGAAGAGAGAGCGGACGCGGGGAGGGGGAAGAAAAGCACAGAGAGAGGCGAGGGGCTGAAGGGGGCTCGGACGGAACCAGCCAAAGCCGTGAAGCGGGAGGACGGCGGTCCAGCGGGAATGACGACAATGCTAGAGATGGGGGTACTGGAGGAGTCCCACAGTAAGTGGTCTAGCCCTATAGTGCTGGTACCGAAACGGCACGGAACCGTATGCTTTCAACGACTTCTGGGGCCTGAACGAGGTCAGTAAATTCAGCGCCTACCCCATGCCCTGGGTGAACAAACTGATCGACCGCTTGGGGAAGGCAAGATACGTCAGCACCCTGGACCTGACGAATGGGTACTGGCAGGTGCCGCTGGCAGCGCCCTCCCGGGAAAAGACTGCCTTCTCCATCCCGGGGGGGGGGGGCTTTACCACTACCGGGTTCTTCCTTTCGGACTCCACGGGGCCCCAGCGACCATCCAGCGACTCATGGACCGCATCCTGCGCCCGCACCGTGAGTACGCTGCTGCTTATTTGGATGATTTAATCGTGCATAGCGACAGTTGGGAGTCCCATCTCTGTAGGTTACAGGCGGTGGTGAATGCGCTAAGGGATGCGGGGCTGACCGCGAACCCCCACAATTGCAAACTGGGCTACGCTGAGGTGGAGTACCTGCGCTATCGAATCGGGCGGGGAAATGTGAAGGGTCAAGATTTTTTTTTTTACGCCATTATGGAATGGCCGGTCCCCCGAACCAAGAGGCAGAATGGCCTAACTTTGCCGCAATAGCTTCTCCTCTCACAGACATAACGAAGGCATGCCTATCCCAGACGGTACAATGAACGGAGGACACAGAGGCGGCGTTCCAGGCCCTGAAGGACGCGCTATGGTCGCACCCGGTACTCATCACCTCAGACTTCTCTAAAAACCTCCTGGTCCAGACAGGCTCGTCTGACACAGGGGTTGGGACCGTCTTGTCCCAAGAGCAGGAAGGCGAGGAGCACCCCATCATGTATGTCAGCGGGAAGCTCCTCCAGAGGGAGAATAGGTACTCGATTGTCGAGAAGGAGTGCCTCACTGTGAAGTGGGCGCTGGACACCCTGAAGTATTACCTCCTCAGGAGGAAGTTCACACTGATTACTGACCATGCCCCCCTTGTGTGGATGGCAAGAGGTAAGGACACGAATGACCGTGTCACCTGCTGGTTCCTGTCATTACAGCAATTATCTTTCTCTGTCATCCCCAGGTCGGGGGCCCAGCACGGCAATGCGGACGCCCTCTCCAGGAGGGATGTAAACCTAGTCCTGAGCACGCCTCCCTCCCGGTCAGGGCTAAGGGCTAGAACCGTTACTACAGTTCGATCCCGAACTGTATCACAACCGGCCATGATCGGGAGTCCCATAGGGTGGTGCACAATTGGCCCAGCGTTGTCCGGGTTTGGCCAGGGGGGCTTTACTTGGCTTGGCTTATCCCGCTCTAGCGACTCCTTGTGGTGGGCTGGGCGCCTGCAGGATGACCTCGGTCGCCAGTCGAACAGTGTTTCCTCTGACACATTGGTGCGGCTGGCTTCCAGGTTAAACTGGCGGGTGTCATGAAGCGAGGTTAGGTGGGTCATGTTTTGGAGAACGCATGACTAGACCTTCGCCTCCCGAGCCTGTTGGGGAGTTGTAGCGATGAGACAAGATCGGAATTGTGGAGAAAAATATATTAAAAGTATGATGATAGTAACAACTTTTACTCTCATTTGTCATTTTCAAAATTGATGTTTATCACATGAATTTGGAACTATATCATAACATATGTACAGTGAGGGAAAAAAGTATTTGATCCCCTGCTGATTTTGTACGTTTGCCCACTGACAAAGAAATGATCAGTTTATAATTTTAATGGTAGGTTAATTTGAACAGTGAGAGACAGAATAACAACAAAAAAATCCAGAAAAACGCATGTCAAAAATGTTATAAATTGATTTGCATTTTAATGAGGGAAATAAGTATTTCAACCCCTCTCAATCAGAAAGATTTCTGGCTCCCAGGTGTCTTTTATACAGGTAACGAGCTGAGATTAGGAGAACAATCTTAAAGGGAGTGCTCCTAATCTCAGTTTGTTACCTGTATAAAAGACACCTGTCCACAGAAGCAATCAATTAATCAGATTCCAAACTCTCCACCATGGCCAAGACCAAAGAGCTCTCCAAGGATGTCAGGGACAAGATTGTAGACCTACACAAGGCTGGAATGGGCTACAAGACCATCGCCAAGCAGCTTGGTGAGAAGGTGACAACAGTTGGTTCGATTATTCGCAAATGGAAGAAACACAAAAGTGCTATCAATCTCCCTCGGCCTGGGGCTCCATGCAAGATCTCACCTCGTGGAGTTGCAATGATCATGAGAACGGTGAGGAATCAGCCCAGAACTACACGGGAGGATCTTGTCAATGATCTCAAGGCAGCTGGGACTATAGTCACCAAGAAAACAATTGGTAACACACTACGCCGTGAAGGACTGAAATCCTGCAGCGCCCGCAAGGTCCCCCTGCTCAAGAAAGCACATATACAGGGTCGTCTGAAGTTTGCCAATGAACATCTGAATGATTCAGAGGAGAACTGGGTGAAAGTGTTGTGGTCAGATGAGACCAAAATGGAGCTCTTTGGCATCAACTCAACTCGCCGTGTTTGGAGGAGGAGGAATGCTGCCTATGACCCCAAGAACACTATCCCCACCGTCAAACATGGAGGTGGAAACATTACGCTTTGGGGGTGTTTTTCTGCTAAGGGGACAGGACAACTTCACTGCATCAAAGGGACGATGGACAGGGCCATATACCGTCAAATCTTGGGTGAGAACCTCCTTCCCTCAGCCAGGGCACTGAAAATGGGTCGTGGATGGGTATTCCAGCATGACAATGACCCAAAACACACGGCCTAGGCAACAAAGGAGTGGCTCAAGAAGAAGCACATTAAGGTCCTGGAGTGGCCTAGCCAGTCTCCAGACCTTAATCCCATAGAAAATATGTGGAGGGAGCTGAAGGTTCGAGTTGCCAAACGTCAGCCTCGAAACCTTAATGACTTGGAGAAGATCTGCAAAGAGGAGTTGAACAAAATCCCTCCTGAGATGTGTGCAAACCTGGTGGCCAACTACAAGAAACGTCTGACCTCTGTGATTGCCAACAAGGGTTTTGTATTAAGTCAAGTATTAAGTCATGTTTTGCAGAGGGGTCAAATACTTATTTCCCTCATTAAAATGCAAATAAATTCATAAAATTTTTGACATGTGTTTTTCTGGATTATTTTGTTGTTATTCTGTCTCTCACTGTTCAAATAGACCTACCATTAAAATTATAGACTGATCATGTCTTTGTCAGTGGGAAAACTTACAAAATCAGCAGGGGATCAAATACTTTTTTCCCCTCACTGTATATGTGTGTGTGTGTGTGTGTGTGTATATATATATGTATATATATGTATATATATGCATGTATGTATGTATGTATGTAGTGTATATATATATATATATATATATATATATATATATATATATATATATATATACTTTAGCAGGGATGTGTGAGGGAGCATTGGAAATTTGTTCTGTAATCCAGAATCACATTCTAAATATAATTCCCTAAGAGTTCAACAAATGTCATCAAATTGTTTACGCAGAAGCACAATAGAGAAGTAGTAGCCTAAGGTATGTCACAATTTGGCGTCTGTGTTCTGTGTGTAGATTGGAGCAGAGTAGGGCATCAGCACAAGCCTAGCAGTATCAAACTGGGAAACGTTTTATGGTGAATGTGTCAGCCAAACAATATTTAACATCACATCAATCCATCCACATATGGATTTGACGCTGGTTTCTGTTCCTACATTATTATTCTTTCCCAACAGCCTACAGCTGGAAAAAAGGTCCATGAATAAGACAATATATATTGCTAGTAAATGTGTATCAATGCATATTTAAATGCTTTATGAATTATACTGTATATTTTTGTATTAGTTGTAATGCTTTTAAATGCTTATAAATGTTTACAAGTGAATGTATTAATATTATGCAGGCTACACTGTTCATAATAGTTTATCAGTTAATTCTCAATTTCGAAGTCTTTCCTTCCTTTCCTTGAGACCTACACAAGACAAGTCCAGTCTGTCAATGAATCTTACATATCCAAACCACATGAACACACTTTGACATCTGTCCCCTGAAGCAGTCCAAACTGTGTGAAAAGTGTGAGTTATCCCCAAGTGTCGAAAAGTGACAGCCGGGCCCTGCAGAGTGCCTTCCACTCAAAGCCCACATCCTAGCCCACACCAGTTCCCCTCAATACAATAAACTCAACAAGACATTGTGCTAAAAGGCATACATCTTTTCAGATTGGTGTGGCAGGTGTAACTCATGACAACTCCAATGGAATCAATGCAGTATTTAGAATCATTCTGCTTTGCAGTTGTACATGCTGTATGGAATCGTTATTGTATTCAAAATGTATCCATGAACTTGTTATTGTGGGTCGGGTTGAAGTCATTTTCATTTCAGCCACCATATTAATTAGAATTCAACTCATTAATTAAATGCGTCCATTACTAAAATTAGGGTTTTTTGTCAATTAAATTACAATTCACTGCATTGGAGTTAAGCCTTGATGAGCAATAGGAGTATTGGTGTATCAGGCACCAGACCTGAAAACAGAACAAAAAGACACAAAGCAAGATGGTCAGCAGCATATTTACCATCAATAGGTGATGTTCTCAGTCTGGTACAGAGTCCTTGGACATCTCCGTAACATTCTTGGATTCTAGTTATTCCCTCAGGTCCCCTGAGTTCCATGAGGGAGCGCAGCTCCTTGAGCGAGCAGTTGAAATCTCCAACATCATGGTTAGAATGTGCATGTCTACCACGCTTCGACCCACGGAACGAGTTGCTGGCCATGTCTCCTCTATAGCTCAAAGGTGGTGGAGAGAGGCTTTCCCAAAAAAGGCAAGTCAAATCTTCAGAGGCAAAATCCGGTATTTTCCATAAACTGCTGTTATTTCTCAGGGATGTACATTGCTTGACTCCATAGAGTGTGACTTGGATAAGAAGAAAGCCATTTTCATTTGATTCCTGTAAGCCCACTCTCTCATCTTGGCTGTTGGTGTTGGCTGAAGTCCTCACAAGACTACATCTGAAAAAGAGAAAAAACATTGAGTAAAAGGTTTTCCCTTTTTTGCCAAAGGTCTTTCATTTTGACAAACTGGATACTGCATATAGCCAAAATGCTGTTCTTTTGCCACCCCAATGAAGAATAACATTGAACCTCACATCAATTAGGTACGCTGATACTCCTGTTGATATTGTATAACTATCTGCCAGGGTTGATTCCATTTTCAATTCCAGTCAATTCAGGAAGTACACTGAAATTCGAATTCTCTTCAATGCTTTTCAATGAGGAATAATTCTAATTAGGTTTACTTTCTAAATTGTTAACCAAACTGCTATCTGGTACTAATCAATAAATTGGGTAGCAAACACAATGCTAACTGCAACAGATGGAATAGCGAACATCTGCCTTATGAAACGCAAGTCTGGTAAAGTAAATATTTGGAGATCTTTGGCAACGTTTATGCCAAGCTTCTGCACAGCCTCGGTGTGCAAAAGCTATTTGAGGAAGAATTCACCCATAATTCAACAAAGACATGACAATTGTTTTCAGACTGTTTCATTGTTACCCAATGTATCTTTGTATTCCAGGTCAATGCTGTAAACTGCAATACAATCGAGTCACCAGAGTTATCATTCTCCTGAAATGATGAGGACATTATTATTGTCTCTGTTATAGCTCTAGACATCCCATCTCAGTCAATCAATTAATCATTTTTGACTCAATCAACTTGAAGTGAGAGTTCTGTTAGGGGCGAGCCCATCTGAAACTCAGACCCACTGGCCAGTACACAAAGTGACAGCCGGCTTTAACACGAGGCCCCGGGAAGGGAATATGTGCCAAGTCCATTTAAGACATGAAAGACTAAAATAAGTTCAGTTACAGTGCCTTCGGAAAGTACTCAGACTCCTTGACTTTTTCCACATTTAGTTAGGTTACAGCCTTATTCTAAAATTGATTAAATTGTTTTTTTCCCCCTCATCAATCTACACACAATATCCCATAATAACAAAGCAAAAACAGTTTATACATTTTTGCTAATTTATTAAAAATAAAAAACTGAAATATCACATTTATATAAGTATTCAGACCCTTTACTCAATACTTTGTTGAATCACCTTTGGCAGCGATTACAGCCTCGAGTCTTCTTTGGTATGAAGCTAAAAGCTTGGCACACCTGTATTTGGGGAGTTTCTCCCATTCTTCTCTGCAGATCCTCTCAAGCTCTGTCAGGTTGGATGGGGAGCATTGCTGCACAGCTATTTTCAGGTCTCTCCAGAAATGTTAGATTGGATTCAAGTCCGGGCTCTGGCTGGGCCACTCAAGGACATTCAGAGACTTGTCCCGAAGCCACTCCTGCATTGTCTTAGCTGTGTGCTTAGGGTCGTTGTCCTGTTGGAAGGTGAACCTTCGTCCCAGTCTGAGATGCTGAGCGCACTGGAGCAGGTTTTCATCAAGAATCTCTCTGTACTTTGCTCCGTTCATCTTTCCCTCAATCCTGGCTAGTCTCCCAGTCCCTGCCGCTGAAAAACATCCCCACAGCATAATGCTGCCACCACCATGCTTCACTGTAGGGGTGGTGCCAGGTTTCCTCCAGACATGACGCTTGGCATTCAGGCCAATCTTGTTTCTCATGGTCTGAGAGTCTTTAGGTGCCTTTTGGCAAACTCCAAGCGAGCTGTCATGTGCCTTTTACTGAGGAGTGGCTTCCGTCTGGCCACTCTACCATAAAGGCCTGATTGGTGGAGTACTGCAGAGATGGTTGTCCTTCTGGAAAGTTCTCCCATCTCCACAGAGGAACTGGAGCACTGTCAGAGTGACCATCGGGTTCTTGGTAACCTCCCTGTCCAAGGACCTTCTCCCCGATTGCTCAGTTTGGCCGGGCGGCCAGCTCTAGGAAGAGTCTTGGTGGTTCCAAACTTCTTCCATTTAAGTAGGATGGAGGCCACTGTGTTCTTGGGGACCTTCAATGCTGCAGAGATTATTTGGTACCCTTGCCCAGATCTGTGCCGACACAATCCTGTCTCGGAGCTCTACGGACAATTCCTTCGACCTCATGACTTGGTTTTTGCTCTGACATGTACTGTCAACTGTGGGACCTTATATAGACAAGTGTGTGCCTTTCCAAATCATGTCCAATCAATTGAATTTACCACAGGTGGATTCCAGTCAAGTTGTAGAAACATCTCAAGGATGATCAATGGAAACAGGATGCACCTGAGCTCAATTTCAAGTCTCATGGGAAAGGGTCTGAATACTTATGTAAATAAGTAATTTCTTTCCATATTTTTTATGAGCAATAGTTTCTAAGAACCTGTTTTCACTTTGTCATTTTGGGGTATTGTGAGTAGATGTTTTTATTTAATCCATTTTAGAATAAGGCAGTAACGTAACAAAACGTGGACGAAGTCAAGGGGTCTGAATACTTTCCAAAGGCACTGTACATTAAAAAATGTTGGCCCTAGAATGATTAGCTTTAGGCAAAGTGTACTTGACTTGAAAAATCCCATGAAATTAGGAGAGAAACTGTGGAAAAAAATGGAACTCATTCCATGGTCAAAGGACAAATAGATGTTGAAGACCTGTATGCTCATCCTTACTGACATATCTAGACCTAGTAGGGCTAATAATAACACAAGGTGCAACTAATTACAAACACAGTGAAAATTGTGAAGCCTGAAGACATCGATCTGTCTAATTAGGGCTGAACAGACAGTGTCTGTGATGGAGGGAGACAAGATTATCAGGCCTCAACTCAAACACCAGACCGTATGAGCAGGTAAATATCTTTGCAATATATGACTCTTAATTCTACCCACATGGAGCAATAAGAAGTATAACCCCATCAAGCACGGCTAACCAGTGACCCTGGACAATACCCTACAATGGTAGCAGATACCAGCAGAACCAACTGAAGCATTATTAAAGGGACATGACACACATTTCTGTACATTTCATATTGACACTAACTATTGATTTTAGACATTGTTTCTGTGTTAACCAATTGATTGAGTTTGTACTTACTAGAAATCCCCCTTTTCTTATCCTCATAGCAACAGGAGGTATATGCTGGTAATACTACCAGTCCGGTTAGGGAAGGCAGAACTCCAGAAACACCCCCATTATCCCCAAAGGAGGCTCTACCGGCACTTCTCGAGGGTATCCAGATAGTTAACCTTCTCTGGGTTATGTTCAAATGGCAGATATTACTTTGAAAATTATGGTTTGACCTTCAGCGCGCAGACTCTCTACCGACACAGGCTTCATTCGAGGAAAAAGGCTCGCTCAATGATTATCTCAGGAAAGCCTCTTGCTTAATCTAATTAGACAATCTGTGGCATCGATGCGCTCAGCAGCCACTGTTTGCTGTCCCTGACAGAGCCACTAACACTGTGAAGGGGAGACACACTGTGGAAAGGTGAAGACAATGCCACCCCCTATGTTTAACTAGTGTAAAGTCAGCTCTACTTTGCCTGTGGTGCATTACATCTGCCAAATTGCAGCTTGGAGCACAGTTGTCGCCCTAAAGGAAGATTTCAATTCGATGAATTTATTAGAATCACAACCAGGGAATGTACCATGTTGTGCTGGGACTGCAGGGGTGAGCAATAGAGAGATTAAATATCCACAGGTTAATAGAAATACAAACATAGAATCAACACACATGATATTCACACCCTGACCAAACTAACTAGAGTTCTATAGGTCAGGGCATGACAGTACCCCCCCCCCCCCCCCCAAAGGTGCGGACTCCGGCCGCACAAACCTGACTTAACAGGGGAGGGTCCGGGTGGGCTTCCAGCCTCGATGGCGGCTCTGGCTCCGGGCTTGCCGTCTCCTCCCTTACTGACTCCGCGTTGCACCCCTGGACCGGTCTGGACCTCAACGCGGAGCTTCCCCTCTCAGTCCTCCCACGATGCACGATCCCTGTCTGGACCCTGGTGTGGGAGACTCCGAACCTAGAGAGGGGCTAACGTCTGGACCCGGAGTTGAGCCGCTGACCGGAGCTGCACCGGATCCGGCTAAAGAGTGGAGCAAACGACTGGAGCTGAATCAGGCACCAGTGGAGCGGACTGCTCTGGCTCCGGAGTGGAACCGTTGATCGGAGCTGGACTGGGCACCGGTGGAGCGGACTGCTCTGGCTCCGGAGTGGAACCGTTGATCGGAGCTGGACTGGGCACCGGTGGAGCGGACTGCTCTGGCTCCGGAGTGGAACCGTTGACCGGTGCTGGACCAGGCACCGGTGGAACGGGCACGGGCCGTGCCGGACTGGAAACACGCACCACAGGTCTGGTGCGAGGAGCAGGCACGGGCCGGACCGGACTGGGAACACGCACCACTGGTCTGGTGCGAGGAGCAGGAACGGGCCGGACTGGACTGGGAACACGCACCACTGGCTAGGTGCGGGGAGCAGGTACGGGGCGTACCGGGCTGGCGACACGCACCACTGGTTTGGTGCGAGGAGCAGGCACGGGCCGGACCGGACTGGGAACACGCACCACTGGTCTGGTGCGAGGAGCAGGAACGGGCCGGGCCGGACTGGGAACACGCACCACTGGCTTGGTGCGGGGAGCAGGTACGGGGCGTACCGGACTGGGAACCGGCGCTGGAGGTCTACGACTGTCTCCGTCCTTTTTTTTCTTGGGGCTGTCTCTCCTTCTGCACCCTGATCCCTTTCAGGGCCTCCATCTGCTTGGCCAGATCCTCTCTTATTTCCCTCCAAGTCCATACTCTCTGCTCCTCCAGGGCACGCTGCTTGGTCCATTGGTGGTGGGATCTTCTGTCACGTTCGTTCATAGACGGGACGGACCAAGGCGCAGCGTGATATGCATACATGTTTATTTAAACTTAATAAACACACAATAAACGAAACGTAACGTCGGAAGGCTATACACACAAGCCAAACTCACCGAGCACAAAACAAGATCCCACAACACAGGCAGGAAAACTGGCTGCCTAAGTATGATCCCCAATCAGAGACAACAAGCGACAGCTGCCTCTGATTGGGAACCACACCCAGCCAAACATAGAAATACAAACATAGAATCAACACACATGATATCACACCCTGACCAAACTAACTAGAGTTCTTTAGGTCAGTGCGTGACAGTGAGATCCGACTGGGCACAGATCTCAGTTCAACGTTTAGTTTGGATTTACATTGGTTGAGTGGTCAACTAACGTGAATTCAACATGAAATCAACAAAACATTTCACCATGTAATTGGATTTAGGTTAAAAGTTGGGTGACAAAAAACAGGGGCGCAACTTTCACTGGGGACGGGGGGACGGGGACAGGGGGACGGGGGACATGTTCCCCAAAGGTTTTCTATAAGTAATTTTGAAAGTAGCATTCACAAGCCAAAATTGGTCCCCAAAAATGTCATTAATTTGGACAGCTTTCCCTCTCCAATGAGGCCATCAATACTAAAACAACAGGCATCCTGAAACCTATTAGAAATAATTGTGCCGAAGTCTGATCTAGTGGCAGCGCTAATCACTTACGCTCACACATCCCCCCTTTGGAGGGGGTTCAAATCTCGCTAGAGCCTTTTCTGTCCGTGTGACCCTCTATATGCATTTCTCTTCTCTATTTTATGACTTCACTACTATAAATACAACAATTCCCAGGTTGAAAGATCGTCAAATGGAAATGTTTTGATATTACATTACGTGGAAAAAACATTGGGTTACATGGAAACATTGTTTCGTAACGTGGAAACCAGTGGGTATTTAGTGTAAATTAATCCAGGGTTACCTCTCATTCGGAAGACTATTGATGATGTCAAAGCCTGGCTCACGAAGCACAATAATCTGGAAAATCTTCTTAGGCACATAACAGAGATGTTGTGGGGGTGGTCTTTCTTGCTGTTGCTAAAAATACAAAGATTTCTGCGCATGTTGGATCCACTAGCCTACCTCCTTTCAGATGTTGCTCAGTGCTCAGTCACTCCGTGACTCTGCTGCCGCTTGTACACAAAACCGTTCAAAAACTCTTAGTTCTTCGTGTGTTGTAACAATAAGCTATTGCAAATATAAGCACGACACAAACAGGTTGTCTAGCAATTTCATGTTCTTTTTTAAGGAGCAGAGTACACGCAGCTATTTAGGCAAGCTACAGTGCCTTCAGAAAGTATTCATACCCCTGGACTTATTGCACAGTTTGTTGTGTTACAGCCTGAATGCAAAATGGATTTAAATATATTTTTTCTCACCCATCTACACACAATATCCCATAATGACAAAGTGAAAACATGTTTATTGAAAATGAATTACAGAAATATCTCATTAACATAAGTATTCACACCCCTGAGTCAATACTTTGTAGATGCACCTTTGGCAGCGATTACAGCTGTGAATCTTTTTGGGTAAGACTTAAGAGGTTTGCACACCTGGATTGTACAATATTTGCCCATTATTCTTTTCAAAATTCTTCAAACACTGTTGATCGTTGCTAGAGAACCATTTTCAGGTCTTGCCATAGATTTTCAAGTAGATTTAAGTCAAACCGGTAACTCGGCAACTCAGGAACATTCTCTGTCTTCTTGGTAAACAACTCCAGTGTAGATTTGGCCTTGGGGTTTAGGTTATTGTCCTGCTGAAAGGTGAATTATTCTCCTAGTTTTTGGTGGAAAGCAGACTGAACCAGGTTTTCCTCTAGGATTTTGCCTGTGCTTAGCTCCATTCTGTTTCCCACCCTACTCCCCAGTCCTTAACGATTACAAGCATACCCATAACATGATGAAGCCACCACTATGCTTGAAAATATGGAGAATGGTACTCAGTAATATGTTTGATTGGATTTGCCCCAAACATAACACTTTGTATTCAGGACAAAAACTTTATTGCTTTGCCAAATTTTTTGCAGTATTAATTTAGGATGCATGTTTTGGAATATTTTTTATTCTGTACAGGCTTCCTTCTTTTCACTCTGTCAATTAGGTTAGTATTGTGGAGTAACTACAATGTTGTTGATCCATCTTCAGTTTTCTCCTATCACAGCCATTAAAGTCACCATTGGCCTCATGGCGAAATCCCTGAGCTGCTTCCTTCACATCCGGCAACTGAGTTAGGAAGGACGTCTGTATCTTTGTAGTGACTGGGTGTATTGATACACCATCCAAAGTGTAATTAATGGATATTCAGTGTCTGCTTTTTTATTTTTGCCCATCTACCAATAGGTGCCCTTCATTGCGAGGCATTGAAAAACCGTTGTAGTTGTATTTGTGTTTGAAATTCACTGTTTGACTGAGGGACCTTACATATAATTGTGTGGGGTACAGAGCTTAGCAAAAATCATGTTAAACACTATTAATGCACACAGAGTCCATGCAACCTATTATGTGACTTGTTAAGCAAATGTTTACTCCTGAACTTATTTAGGCTTGCCATACCAAAGGGGTTGAATACTTATTGACTCAAGACATTTCAGCTTTTCATTTTTAATTATACTGAACAAAACTATAAAATGCAACATGTGTTGGTCCCATGTTTCATGAGCTGAAATAAAAGATCCCAGAAATTGTCCATTCACACAAAAAGCTAATTTCTCTCAAATTTTGTGCACAAATTAGTTTACTTCCCTGTTAGTGAGCATTTCTCCTTAGCCAAGATAATCCATCCACCTGACAGGTGTGTCATATAGAGAAGCTGATTAAACAGCATGATTATGCAGGTGCATGTTGTGCTTGGGACAATAAAAGGCCACTCTAAAATGTGCCGTTTTGTCACACAACACAGATGTCTCAAGTTTTGAGGGAGCAGGCAATTGGGCATGCTGACTGCAGGAATGTCCACCAGAGCTGTTGCCAGATAATTTAATGTTCATTTCTCTACCATAAGCCGCCTCCAACGTCATTTTAGAGAATGTGGCAGTACATCCAACCGGCCTCACAACCGCAGACCACGCGTAACCACGCCAGCCCAGGATCTCCACATCTTCATCTGCAGGATCGTCTGAGACCAGCCTCCCGGACAGCTGATGAAACTGTGGGTTTGCACAACCGGATAATTTCTGCACAAACTGTCAGAAACCGTCTCAGGGAAGCTCATCTGCGTGCTCGTCATCCTCACCAGGGTCTTGACCTGACTGCAGTTCAGCATCGTAACCGACTTTAGTGGGCAAATGCTCACCTTCGATGGCCACTGGTACGCAGGAGAAGTGTGCTCTTCACGGATGAATCCCAGTTTCAACTGTACCGGGCAGATAGCAGACACCGTGTATGGCATCGTGTTTAGGCGAGCCGTTTGCTGATGTCAACGTTGTGAACAGAGTGCCCCATGGTGGCAGTGGGGTTATGATATAGGCAGGCATAAGCTACGGACAACAAACACAATTGCATTTTATCCACGCCCCTACCTTTTTTGTAAGGTCTCTGTGACCAACAGATGCATATCTGTATTCCCAGTCATGTGAAATCCACAGATTAGTGCCTAATGAATTAATTTCAATTGACTGATTTCCTTATATGAACTGTAACTCAGTAAAATCTTTGAAATTGTTGCATTTTGTGTTTATATTTTCAGTGTCATTTGTAAACATTTTGACATTATGGGGTATTGTGTGTAAGCCAGTGCCAAAAATAAAATCAATTTTATTAATTTTACATTCAGGCTGTAACAGAACAAAATGTGGAAAAAGTCAAGGGGTGTGAATACTTTCTGAAGGCACTACACAGCAGCCTACACAGCATATCAAACAAGCAAAACACAGACAGGCAGTCAATAGCAATTTAATGTTATTTTTTCATCATTATTGCAAACATTGGCTAACAGGAGGCAGACTGTTTGCTATAAGGCAGCGTAACTATAAAGATTATATCATCACACAAAATGCTAATTGTTTTGCACCAATGCAATGTGTAGACTGCAACCTGTTTGTGCTACGGCAAAATCCCTTACAACAGATAGAGAAGGTTGTAGCCTTCATATCTTTTTTTTGGATGGTTCGTTCAAATCGCAGCTGTTCAGAAATATGAGGCAGAGACATAGGCTACATTATCATTTCAATCAAATTGGTTGAGGGTTCAGAAGAGGGTGAGCAAAGAGAGAAACGTGAATGTGTGTGTAAAATAACATCTGCACAGAACGTGATTCAGATCCTTAGATTTTGAGAAAGAAGTTTCCAGAGGGGCGGGACGGGGGCAAAAACTCCATATTCGTAGCATCGGACAATATTATGGCATTGACAATGGCTACATACAGTTAGCCCTGACATTGGCTTTGACTGAATAAAAGCCATCCTGCATGAGCTTCAATGCCACTCAACTATACAGGACAGATTGATTTGCCAGGGTGAAAAAGATTAGCTTTTAAATTATGTAGAATTCACTGGAAGCACTAGTAATGTGCACATAGTTAAATACCTGACAAGGGGTGTGGATACTTTCTGAAGGCACTGTAAATACCCGACTAGCCAGACACCCAAATGCTTGTATACAGTATTGTGTGTAGACCCACCATATGGCAACATTTTAAACCATGTCATGTTTGTTCCAGTCACATAGATGCTAATCTTAATATGGTGGCACAAATTATCCTATCATCCTAAATGCATGCTTAGACAGAGAATATTTTAATAATATTTATGTGTTGCTACAACACTGTGTGTGTGTGTGTGTGTGTGACAGAGCAAATAATAAATTAAGGATAAATAAACCATTGGTATAGCTTTAAAAATCCCATTCTAAATCCAAAAAGCGGTCAAAAAGCGGTCACAACTGGTCATTTAAATGATCCTATTTTCACCAACATTTTTTGTTGTTGTAATCCTAACAAAATGAACTGCAAATCTAATGAACTCCAATAAAGCCCCCAAGAGACCACAAAGGATTGTTCGTATTGATTTGATATGATAGTTTATATTAAGTCACGGCGGAGTCACTTACAGGTGAGTCACAGATAGGGCCGTCGGCGGGGCAGGACTCGTATGCAGAGGTGAAGAGAAGCAGCCATGTCAGAAACATCCCAGAAGAGCCCCGACTATCTGTCCATCAGCGGTCACACACAGGAATGGAGCCCTGTCTGCTTCCTAGCTGCATCCTTTCGCAGCCCCCCCTCGCACGACGACAGCACGCGAGCGGCACTTAACTCCAATTGCTCCGTCTCAGGGACGGTAGAGAGCACGACCTCGCCGAAACAGGATTAGCTATAAATAGGCACGCATATCCATCCAGGGGCTGCTGCGTGGCAGTGGCTCAGCCTTTGCCTGTGAGGTACACTGTGCTTTGGGACTGTGGCACTAGCGCGCTAATGCTTGTAGAGCAAACCACTAAACCTGTGTCCCTTCACCCAACCCCACCCTACTCCACCCACCAGTCATTGGGTTAGCTATAGCCCCAAGGGCCTTAGCGAGTGGTGAGCAGGGGGACGTGTTGATCCCATGTTCTAGAGTCCCGCCTCTCCACAACCCCAATTAAGACATCAAGTATCCCCTGATCAAGGCCCCATATCACCTCACTACTGCTGTGACGCAAGGTGACGTAAACCAACACAGTGCACATACAGTATATCGCACGCATAAACACACTCACGTGCACGAATGCCCACATTCGGAGGAGGATTAAAGTACACTGCGCCTACACACACACACAACACACACAGCCAGATTATAGACACACACACAACACACACAGCCAGATTATAGACACACACAGACACACTGCAGCTAGACAGTAGGATTAGAGGCATACACAAATACAGAGAGAAAGAGAGAAAGAGAGAGACAGAGAGAGAGACAGAGAGAGAGAGAGACAGTGAGAGAGACTGAGAGAGAAAGACCGAGAGAGAGACAGTGAGAGAGACAGTGAGAGAAAGACAGAGAGAGAGACAGAGAGAAAGAGAGAGAGACAGAGAGAGAGTCAGTGAGAGAAAGACAGAGAGAGAGACAAAGACAGAGAGAGAGACAGAGACAGCGAGAGAGACAGAGACAGCGAGAGATGGATTAGAATGCAGTTTAGAGTCTAGACCTTGTTGCCTCTCTGCAGAATGTGCAGACCTGATACTGTATGTAGGGTTGCAGAGAAAGATGATATCATATGATACCCTCCCTGCCAGTGACCCTGTTTGAAAGCTACCCCTAACATGACATTTGGCCAGTGCCACCACAAAGAGGGATGAAAACTGAAAAGCAGGGATCAGGCTACATTTCCCTATCACGTCAGCTTCTTTCTGAGTGGATTGTTTGTTGCTTGTGTCTACTAGGCATTTTTCTATATCCTTTAGACAAAGGTATCTCTAAAGTCCAAAAACTTTAGCTTAGTCATCGATTTCAGTTTTTAGGCATGCTACATGCAAGATGCCTACTGGTCAATGAGGCCTTTTGTTTGGGAGAGAATATGTCTGTGTCCACGAACCATGGTCATGTGGTCAATGCGGGCAAGCAAGCATTTTCAGGGGGCGGAGATACGGAATTGAATCTAACGCCTTGCCAATCAACCAATCATTGTCTGTGTATCAAACGTGGAGCTTGCTAAAGCCTAAAGCTGGTATTAGCCTATAACGAATTGTTAGCAGCTACATGTCTATGGTGTATCTTTAAGTTAAAAGCTAAATTAAAGTAAATTGACATGTATGCCCCAGAAACACTACCACACGCACGCACACACACACACACACACACACACACACACACACAGCATAACCTCACTAATCTTCTTCTCAATGGCTTAAAGCCGCTGCAGAAGCGTAATAATTAAAGAGGAAAACACCATCAGTGCTTTTAGGGACATATGCACACAGATTAGCCCTATGGGCGTCACTGGGCAACACACATATCATGGCTGCAACCATGGCATCGAATTAATTCACACCTTACCCACTCCACCTGTCTGCTAACCAAAGGACCCAGTCATGTGTGTAGTCCAGTTTTGTAGTCCAGGTACTGAGGAGAGGGTATGAAAGGCAGTGGAAACTCCTCATTAACATTTCAGAAGTGAGAACCATTCAGTGAAAGCCAATGTTCCATCAGGTGACAGGAGAACAGGATCACGTTTCTGACATTACATGTTTGAACTGTTGCTGTACAAAGTGACAAAATGTGGAGCTCAATTATTAATGTGATGAAGGGAGAGCAAAGATCACAGGTCAAATGGATGAGCTGGTTTATCACCAGGTTTGGGGGGTTCAATTTCACTATAATTCTGTCCATTCAGCAGATTGATTGAAATTCACTGCATAAGGATCTAATGGAGAATTTCCCATTCCATTTCAGCCAAGATAAGTGGAAAACTCATGTTACTTTGTATTTTAAGAGGAACATGCCTTTAATGCCTGTCTTTAAAGGGATGTTCCACCCATCATATAACCTAACATGATTTCTCAGAATGACCTTCTTGATCCAAACCAGTCAGGTTTCAAGACTGGTCATTCAACTGAGACTGCTCTTCTCTGTGTCACGGAGGCTCTCCGCACTGCTAAAGCTAACTCTCTCTCCTCTGCTTTTATCCTTCTAGACCTATCTGCTGCCTTTGATACTGTGAACCATCAGATCCTCCTCTCCACCCTCTCCGAGTTGGGCATCTCCGGCGCTGCTCACTCTTAGAGATTGTGTCCTACCTGACAGGTCGCTCCTACCAGGTGGCGTGGCGAGAATCTGTCTCTGCACCACGTGCTCTCACCACTGGTGTCCCCCAGGGCTCAGTTCTAGGCCCTCTCCTATTCTCTCTATACACCAAGTCACTTGGCTCTGTCATATCCTCACATGGCCTCTCCTATCATTGCTATGCAGACAACACACAATTCAGTTTCTCCTTTCCCCCTTCTGATAACCAGGTGGCGAATCGCATCTCTGCATGTCTGGCAGACATACCAGTGTGGATGTCGGATCACCACCTCAAGCTGAACCTCGGCAACACGGAGCTGCTCTTATTCCCGGGGAAGGACTGCCCGCTCCATGATCTCGCCATCACGGTTGACAACTCCATTGTGTCCTCCTCCCAGAGTGCAAAGAACCTTGGCGTGACCCTGGACAACACCCTGTCGTTCTCCGCTAACATCAAAGCGGTGACCCGATCCTGCAGGTTCATGCTCTACAACATTCGCAGAGTACGACCCTACCTTACACAGAAAGCGGCACAGGTCCTAATCCAGGTACTTGTCATCTCCCGTCTGGATTACTGCAACTCGCTGTTGGCTGGGCTCCCTGCCTGTGCCATTAAACCCCTACAACTTATCCAGAACGCTGTAGCCCGTCTGGTGTTCAACCATCCCAAGTTCTCTCATGTCACCCCGCTCCTCCGCACATCCACCTCTGGCCTGCTAGCCCCCCTACCTCTACGGAAGCCCAGTTCCCGCTCAGCCCAGTCAAAGCTATTCGCTGCTCTGGTACCCCAATGGTGGAACAAGCTCCCCCACGACGCCAGGACAGCGGAGTCACTGACCACCTTCCGGAGACACTTGAAACCCTACCTCTTTAAGGAATACCTGGAATAGTATAACAGTAATCCTTCTACCCCCCTCCCCCACAATAAAAAAAAAAAGGAGTGCTTGTCCCACTGGCTATCCTAAGTTGAATGCACCAATTTGTAAGTCGCTCTGGATAAGAGCGTCTGCTAAATGACTTAAATGTAAATGTAAATGTAGACTCCTTGAGAAGAAATGTCTCTGCATCCAAATGTTCTACTGTATTTTAGTGAAAATATATAAATGTAATTTACTTTTTTCAAAAATAATGAAATATGATCTGCAGTGTTGGGGCGGCAAGTAGCTTAGTGGGTAAGAGCGTTGTGCCAGTAACCGAAAGGTTGCTGGTTCTAATCCCCTAGCCGACTAGGTGAAAACCTGTCGATGTGCCCTTAAGCAAGGCACTTAACCCTAATTGCTCCTGTAAGTTGCTCTGGATAAGAGTGTCTACAAAATGTAAATGTAAAATGTTGGAAGAAATCAAATACGTTCAACTCACAAGATTCTGGCAAATATAATGTGATACTGCCGACTTGTGGTCATTGTGGAACACAACACATGGACTGTTTCTCTAAACGTGTTTAGGTTTTTTGTAAGAGCTCTAGGCCAGAATTTACATTATAATGGAATACATACGAGGCTCTGAATATATCCTAGAAGAAAAAAGTAACATTCATGAACAATGAAGAGAGATGTATTATCTTTACCGGTGTGGTAAATTGTTTTCCTACTTTTTAAACCAAGTGTACTCAGCATACTTCTCAGATTGCGCAATAGTACATACAAGGGCACACTTTGGGAGAAGTATGGTGAAGTGGTGGCTGTGTCTTTGTAGCCCTAAAAACACCTCACCCCACACTTTGACACATTTGGTGGAGAATGCAGGCCCAATACTACAGGACACGAGTACAAAACAATTAACAGAGGTTACCCCATTGGAGTGGTCAAGGAACCTAATAATAATATAATTATAACTAGATTAGACAGTTTACATTTTTCATTCTACTTGTGACCTTTTCATTGTATTCAGGTACTTTTATTTTCCATGTTTGAGATGTTGTAATATAAATAATATATATAATTGGAATGTTTTCTTTTTAAAAAGAACATGCTTCTCAGTATTATAAAAGTACATAACACAGTATAACATAGTGCTGTCCTACTATAGCCTTTTCCCGACTCCACCATACCCCCAGTGGCCCTTCACATCAATGAAGCCTACTTGCAGAAGCCCTCTTCCTCCTGAGCAATAGACCCATGCCACCCAACAGACGGGAGATCACCCCCTGGATGTGAGCATTTGAGACCCTAAAAATGCACACTTTACAGCCTCCATCCTTCTCACCCATTGGCCTTACACCATTGGAAATGATTTGCTATAGCACTCTCAATGTTAATGGCTAAACTATTCTATCATGTCAATAGATAAGGCTAATTATTTTAATTTTTTTGTGAAAGTTTCAGTGAGCTTCTCTATAGGCCATACCTATAACACCCATCTACCTGCCTACCTACGTTTATTTATAGCTGTTTCACGTTTTAATTTTTGGATATTTCTTCGTGTAGCTAGTTGCTGTTGAAAAGAAACTCTGTACTATGAAAACATTAATTGGCGGCCCCTTTAAGACTGTAGTCGCTGACATTGACGAAATTTCCTGGTAGCTTGAACGCCTCACTCACTGTAAGGCAACAACAGAAATTTGAAACAGCTTATTGTTGTCGAATGCGTTCATAAAACGCAAAGAACGTCATCGTTTCCCCCCACCCTTTTGTGTATGGACCTCTTGCACTGTTTGCCATAAGATTATTTTATTTATGGTGTTCAATGTTTATACTTGGGCGTGAGCGGGGCGGACCAACGGAGGGTTTCTTTGAAACACGCTGGCAGGTGGGAAAGGGCGACCGACCGAGTAACGACAGCGTTAATGAAACTTTGTTACAGATTTCGTTATGGGTAAGAAACTTTCTGACAGCTTCTTATTTATTTAACCCAATAGTTCTAAGTGCAACAGGCGTAGTCGTATCGTGCAATTTATTTTTTGTTGCACCAAAACGACGTTGGTTTAACTCGATATCATGCTCTCATTCTGCACTCATAAGCGACTAGAGATAGAGAACATTATATTTTCACAACGTGTCTTCCGAATGCTGCATTTGAAGTTTTTGATACAATTATAATTTACTTTTATGTTCTTATCAATATGTAGTATTGCCTCCTTTTACTTTTGTGTTAGCCGTCAGTACGACTAAAACGGCATACTTCTGTGTCATCTTTACAATAGTTCAACAATGTAACAATGTTCTTCATGATTATCTGGTGAGGTGCAACATGGTTATCGTGAAATGATAGCCTACACGTGTTGTATAAAACCTCACCCAAACGTCTTGCACCGGAACATTCGGATTCTGAGATGGGCTGGGCATCCTGGGATATCCCCCCGATATGTGTGTGTGTATATATATATATATATCTACACACAATACCCCATAATGACAAAGCGAAAACAGGTTGAAAAATGTCTGCAAATTTATAAAAAATTAAAAACAGAAACCTTATTTACATAAGTATTCAGACCCTTTGCTATGAGACTTGAAATTGAGCTCAGGTGCATTATGTTTCCATTGATCATCCTTGAGATGTTTCTACAACTAGATTGGAGTCCACCTGTGGGAAATTCAATTGATTGGACATGATTTGTCAGAGCAAAAACCAAGCCATGAGGTCTAAGGAATTGTCCGTAGAGCTCAGAGACAGGATTGCGTCGAGGCACAGATCTGGGGTACCAAAATAATTCTGCAGCATTGAAGGTCCCCAAGAACACAGTGGCCTCCATCATTCTTAAATGGAAGAAGTTTGGAACAACCAAGACTCTTCCTAGAGCTGGCCGCCCGGCCAAACGGAGCAATCGGGGGAGAAGGGCCTTGGTCAGGGAGGTGACCAAGAACCCGATGGTCACTCTGACAGAGCTCCAGAGTTCCTCTGTGGAGATGGGAGAAACTTCCAAAAGGACAACCATCTCTGCAGCACTCCACCAATCAGGCCTTTATGGTAGAGTGGCCAGACGGAAGCCACTGTTCTGTAAAAAGGCACAACAGCCCGATTGGAGTTTGCCAAAATGCACCTAAAGACTCTCAGACCATGAGAAACAAGATTCTCTGGTCTGATGAAACCAAGATTGAACTCTTTGGCCTGAATGCCAAGCGTCACGTCTGGAGGAAACCTGGCACCATCCCTACGGTGAAGCATGGTGGTGGCAGCATCATGCAGTGCGGATGTTTTTCAGCGGCAGGGACTGGGAGACTAGTCAGGATCAAGGCAAAGATGGACGGAGCAAAGTACAGAGAGATCCTTGATGAAAACCTGCTCCAGAGCGCTCAGGACCTCAGACTGGGGCGAAGGTTCACCTTCCAACAGGACAACGACCCTAAGCACACAGCCAAGACAATGCAGTAGTGGCTTCGGGACAAGTCTCTGAATATCCTTGAGTGGCCCAGCCAGAGCCCAGACTTGAACCCAATCGAACATCTCTGGAGAGACCTGAAAATAGCTGTGCAGCATCGCTTCCCATCCAACCTGACAGAGCTTGAGAGGATCTGCAGAGAAGAATGGGAGAAACTCCCCAAATACAGGTGTGCCAACCTTGTAGCGTCATACCCAAGAAGACTCGAGGCTGTAATCGCTGCCAAAGGTGCTTCAACAAAGTACTGACTAAAGGGTCTGAATACTTATATAAATGTGATATTTCAGTTTATTTCTAATAAATTAGCAAAAATGTCTAAACCTGTTTTTGCTTTGTCGTTTTGGGGAATAAACGATTTAATCAATTTTAGAATAAGGCTGTAAAGTAACAAAATGTGGAAAAAGTCAGTGGGTCTGAATACTTCTGAATGCACTAATATATATATATATATATAACACACACACGGTATCAGTCAAAAGTTTGGACACACCTACTCATTCCAGGGTTTTTCTTAATTTTTTAAAACTATTTTCTACATTGTAGAATAATAGTGAAGACATCAAAACTATGAAATAACACATATGGAATAATGTAGTAACCAAAAAAAGTGTTAAACAAATCAAAATGTATTTTATGTGAGGTTCTTCAAATAGCCACCCTTTGCCTTGATGACAGCTTTGCACACTTGGCATTGTCTCAACCAGTTTCATGAGGTAGTCACCTGGAATGCATTATAATTAACAGGTGTGCATTGTTAAAAGTTATTTTGTGCAATGTCTTTCCTTCTTAATGCGTTTGAGGCAATCAGTTGTGTTTTGACAAGGTAGGGGTGGTATACAGAAGATAGCCCTATTTGGTAAAAGACCAAGTCCATATTATGGCAAGAACAGCTCAAATAAGCAGAGAGAAACGACAGTCCATCATTACTTTAAGACATGAAGGTCAGTAAATCCGGAAAATGTCATGAATTTTGCAAGTTTCTTCAAGTGCAGTCACAAAAACCATCCAACCGCCATGTCATCCAATGCAGCGTAGGTGAACGGATGATATCCGCATGTGTGGTTCCCACCATGAAGAATGGAGGAGGAGGTGGGATGGTGTAGGTGTGCTTTACTGGTGACACTCAGTCATTTATTTAGAATTCAAGGCACACTTAACCAGCATGGCTACCACAGCATTCTGCAGCGATACGCCATCTTATCTGATTTGCGCTTAGTGGGACTGTCATTTGCTTTTCAACAGGACAATGACTTAAAACACACCTCCAGGCTCTGTAAGGGCTATTTGACCAAGAAGGAGAGTGATGGAGTGCAGCATCAGATGACCTGGCCTCCACAATCACCCTACCTCAACCCAATTGAGATGGTTTAGGATGAGTTGGACCGCAGAGTGAAGGAAAAGCAGCCAACAAGTGCTCAGCATATGTGGGAACTCTTTCAAGACTGTTATAAAAGCATTCCTCATGAAGCTGGTTGAGAGAATGCCTTGATGACAGCTTTGCACACTCTTGGCAAAGGGTGGCTATTTGAAGAATCTCAAATATAAAATATTTTGATTTAACACTTTGTTGGTTACTACATGATTCCATATGTGTTATTTCATAGTTTTGATGTCTTCTACCTTTGAATGAGTAGGTGTTCTAAAACTTTTGACCGGTAGTGTATATACTGTAATCTAGTCATGGCTCATCCTATATAATTAATTTTTAGATTTTTCTGGATTGTGTGTATTGTTTTATTTATTGCAAGGCATTACTGCACTGTTGGAGCTTGAAACACAAGCATTTCGCTTTCAGTTTGGAGTAAATGGTTTCTGTTACAAAACGTTTCGTAACAAACAAAACGATTTGCAACAGAATCGGCCTAATGAATACACCCCAGGTGTGATTAAAATGCATGAAACTACACAGGAGGTAAAGTGTGACCAGTTCCTTCACATCACTACAGATGAAGGAAAGACACTAGGTGATGAAACTCCACAGTTACATTTTCTTCTTCCTCCACTCAACGCCCAAACTATTTGTTAACGGGTTAAGCATACTCCTACTTTTTTCGTTTTTTCAAAATGGCATTTTGCAGTGTTGTGTGGCGAGATGTAAACTGCCCAAGTAAAAACATGTTTTTAGAACATTTTGCAAATGTATTGAATGAAATACAGAAATATCTTAATTTACATAATTATTCACACCCCTGAGTACTTTGTAGAAGCACCTTTGGCGGTGATTACAGCTTTGAGTCGTCTTGGGTTTGTCTGTATCAGCTTTGCACATCTGGATTTGGGGATTTTCTCCCATGCAGATTTTCTCAAGCTCTGTTAAGTTAGATGGGGAGTGGTGGCGAATAGCAAGGCTCCATTCATTGTTCCCTCTATCCTTACCAGTCTCCCAGTCCCTGCTGCTGAAAAGCGTCCCCATAGTATGATGCTGCCACCACCATGCTTCATGGTAGGGATGGTGTTAGATGGGTGATTAGCTGTCAAAGCACTTTGCATTCAGGCCAAAGAGTTCAATTTTTGTCTCATCAGACCATGAGGCAAAAGATTATATCTTTCACGTGCCTTTTTGCAAACTCCAGGCATGCTATCATGTGCCTTTTTCTCAGGAGTGGCTTCCGTCTAGCCACTCCCATAAAGCCCGGATTGGTGAAGTGCTGTAGAGACTGTTGTCATTCTGGGAGGTTCTCCCATCTCAGCCAAGGAGCTCTGTAGTTCTTTCAGAGTGGTCATTCCTCCCTGACCAAGGTCCTTCTTGCCCGGTTGCTCAGTTTGATCGGACAGCCAGCTCAAGGCAGAGTCTGGGTAGTAACATATTTCCCAATGACTGAGAACATTGTGCTCTTGGAAACTCTAGGAATTGTTTTATACCCATCCCCAGATATATGCCTCATCACAATTCTATCTCGGAGATCTACTTCATGGTATAGTTTCTGGTCTGACATGCGCTGTCAACTGTGGGACCTTCTATAGACAGGTGCGTTTCCAAATCAAATGAATTGGCCACAGGTGGACTCCAATCAAGTTATAGTGACATCTCAAAGATGATAAAAGGAAATGGGATGCACCTGAGCTCAAATTGGAGTGTCATAGCAAAGGGGTGTGAATAATTACACTACCAGTCAAAAGTTTGGACACACCTACTCATTCAAGGGTTTTTCTTAATTTTTTACAATTTTTTACATTGTGGAATAATAGTGAAGACATCAAAACTATGAAATAACACATATGGAATCACGTAGTAACCAAAAAAGTGTTAAACAAATCAAAATATATTTTATATTTGAGATTCTTCTAATAGCCACCCTTTGCCTTGATGACAGCTTTGCACACTCTTGGCATTCTCTCAACCAGCTTCATGAGATAGTCACCTGGAAAGCATTTCAATTAAAAGGTGTGCCTTGTTAAAAGTTAATTTTAAGTTTGAGCCAATTAGTTGTGTTGTGGCAAGAACAGCTCAAATAAGCAAAGAGAAACAACAGTCCATCATTACTATAAGACATGAAGGTCAGTCAATACGGAACATTTCAAGAACTTTGAACGTTTCTTCAAGTGCAGTCGCAAAAACCATCAAGCGCTATGATGAAACTGGCTGTCATGAGGACCGCCACAGGAATGGAAGACCCAGATTTACCTCTGCTGCAGAGGATAAGTTCATTAGTTACCAGCATCAGAAATTAGAACATTCAGAATTCAAGTAACAGACACATCTCAACATCAACTGTTCAGAGGAGACTGGGTGAATCAGGCCTTCATGGTCGAATTGCTGCAAAGAAACCACTTCTAAAGGACACCAATAATAATAAGAGACTTACTTGGGCCAAGACACCCGAGCAATGGACATTAGACCGGTGGAAATTTCTCCTTTGGTCTGGAGTCCAAATTTGAGATTTTTGGTTCTAACCGCCGTGTCTTTGTGAGACGCGGTGTGGGTGAACGGATGATCTCTGCATGTGTAGTTCCCACCGTAAAGCATGGAAGAGGAGGTGTGATGGTGTGGGGGTGCTTTGCTGGTGACACTGTCTGTGATTTATTTAGAATTCAAGGCACACTTAACCAGCATGACCACCACAGCATTCTGCAGTGATACGCCATCCCATGTGGTTTGGGCTTAGTGGGACTATCATTTGTTTTTCAACAGGACAATGACCCAACACACCTCCAGGCTGTGTAAGGGCTATTTTACCAAGAAGGAGAGCAATGGAGTGCTGCATCAGATGACCTGGCCTTCACAATCACCCAACCTCAACCCAATTGAGATGGTTTGGGATGAGTCGGACCGCAGAGTGAAGGAAAAGCAGCCTTTGCACACTCTTGGCATTTAACACTTTTTTTGGTTACTACATGATTCCATATGTGTTATTTCATAGTTGTGATGTTTTCACTATTATTCTACAATGTAGAAAATAGTAAAAATAAAGAAAAACCCTTGATTGAGTAGGTGTGTCCAAACTTTTGACTGGTATTGTATATAAATTAGATTTCTGTATTTTCAATAAATGTAGCACATTCAAAAAAACATGTTTTCACTTTGTCATTATGGAGTATTGTGTGCAGATGGGTGAAGGGGGAAAAAATATGCTTGAATTCAGGCTGTAACAAAACTAAATGTGGATTAAATCAAGGGGTATGAATACTTTCTGAATGGACTGTATGTCTTCAATGGTAAAGTAATTGGATTTGTGTGGGGCTGTAAATAATTTATGTTGCATTATACTCTTTTTCCTCCTCCTCAGCAACTTGCCAGAACTGAATATAAGTATAGAGCTTGGTTAAGTATGGAGCATGGTTCCCTGACTGGCGGTGCTATTTTATTTCCATCAATCCCCCCCCCCCCCCCCCCTCCATGTTTTGTGAGCAAAATATTATTTTTTATATTGGACAGAAAATACAATTAAAAAAACGCCAGCAAGTCAGCCCCAAGTGACTGACATTTTGGAAATCTGTTCCAAAGTATTCCAATGTATAATGTAAGCAAGGTTTGAAATGATTGTTTTAGTCAAATATTACTAGGCTTCTTTCTCATTGCGCTGTTTATTTTACACCATTCTGCTCATGATTTAGTCAATCTGTCAACCCCCTTATCTCAGAAAAGATTAATGGTTAACCTGAGGAAATAGGTGTTTGACTTGCACAGGCCGATCCTGTCCGACACACTGATTGTGTCTGTTGATTGATGAAAAGTGTTGGTCCAATGTTTCATGAGCTGAAATAAAAGATCCCAGAAATGTTCCATACCCCCAAAATCTTATTTCTCTAAAATAAATTGCACAAATTAGTTTAATTCCCTGTTAGTGAGCATTTCTCCTTTACCAAGATGATCCATCCACCTGACAGGTGTGGCATATCAAGAAGCTGATTTAAACAGCATGATCATTACACAGGTGCACCTTGTGCTGGGGACAATAAAAGGCCACTCTAAACTGTGCCGTTTTGTCACACAACACAATGCCATAAATGTTTCAAGTTTTGAGGGAGCGTGCAATTGGCATGCTGACTGCAGGAATTTCCACCAGAGCTGTTGCCAGATAATTGAATGTTAATTTCTCTACCATAAGCTGCCTCCAATGTCGTTTTAGAGAATTTGTCAGTATGTCCAACTGGCCTCACAACCACAGACCATGTGAATGGTGGTGTGTGGGCGAGCGATTTGCTGAAGTCAACGCTGTGAACAACGAGTGCCCCATGGTGGCGGAGGGGTTATGGATGGGCAGGCATAAGCTATGGACAACAAACACAATTGCATTTTATCGATGGCAACTTGAATGCACAGAGATACCATGACGAGATGCTAAGGCCCATTGTCGTGCCATTCATCTGCCGCCATCGCATGTTTCAGCATGATAATGCACAGCCCCATGTCGCAAGGATCTGTAAACAATTCCTAGAAGCTGAAAATGTTCAATTTCTTCCATGGCCTGCATACTCACCAGACATGTAACCCATTGAGCATGTATTGGATGCTCTGGATCGACGTGTACGACAGCGTGTTCCAGTTCCCGCCAATGTCCAGCAACTTCGCACAGCCATTGAAGAGGAGTGGGACAACATTCCACAGGCCACAATCAACAGCCTGATCAACTCTATGCGAAGGAGATGTCACGCTGCATGAGGCAAATGGTGGTAACACCAGATACTGACTTTTTTTTTTAAATCCACGACCCTACCTTTTAAAAAAAAAAAAAAAGGTATTTGTGACCAACAGATGCATATCTGTATTCCCAGTCATGTGAAATCCATAAATTAGGGCCTAATGATTTTTTTTCAAATGACTGATTTCCTTATGTGATCTGTAACTCAGTAAAATCTTTGAAATTGTTGCATGTTGCATTTTATATTTTTGTTCAGTATAGTTCCCGAGCACCCAAGACATTTCTATACAATAGGTTAGTCTGGTAGCACTCTTGAGGCTATGTTCCAATTCTGTTCTTCTGATTGGCTTTCTTCTATGCTCTGGGTAGAAATCAAGGATCTAAGATTTAATTCCTCCTAAATTAAACTTGGGATCGAATCTTATAAAGGGCGACTAATTTCACCGATCTCGTAATGAATGGGTGCTATGATGCGATGATGAAAGTATGTACCACATCTCTTTCTCTCTCTTTCACTCTCTTCTCAATCTCACTCTCTGGGAAGAGGCTAAAGGGTCCGGCTTTCTGTCTGAGCTACATACGTTAAAGAGATTTTAGGGGCGTCCCAGACCTAAAATGATTGCCCAACTCACCCGCACCCCCTCAGTCACAGGCCCATTGGCCTCATACTTTAGGAAGCTGGTGCAACATGTATAGCCAGCAGTTAAGTTTTGGCAAAATAATACTTTTTAGAAAAATGTATTCTAGATTACAAGGGGTCAAAGTTAAGAAGGTAGAAGACAGACATTTGGCTATCATCATTTTGAGTGGTTATTGTATCTCAATTTCCTTGTAAGGCTGAATTATTCAATGTGTCTGATCATAGGGATAAGTGATGGGAGTTGTTCATTCTCCAGTAAGTCTCATTACTGATATGAGTAGAGGGTTTTATTTCTCCCGTAAGAGATTGAGAGGAATTATGTCATGCTGAATTGAATGACTGTGGATGCCATTCATACCATCCTCATGCCTGTGGTATAATGCAATGTCATGTGGAATGCACATGTAAGTACTATATTGTTGCACATGAATCTTTTGAGTTGGCATTTAAAATTGGTCATTTTTATTGATGACAATTCAATACTTTTTATCTCATGGAGACATGCCCTGGTCAGTGAGTTGCCGGTACAATATTTGATTCTAATCACCTGTGTCTTTCTTCCTTTTTGACCCTGCAGGGATGCCATACGCCATGTTAAGATAAAGACCAAGACGACAGTGTTGAACATGCTAAAGCGGTTGGACAAAATCCGGTTCCGGGGCCAGCGGCCAGACGTGTTCCTGGATCTGGGTGAATCGCCCAACACATCTGACACTGAATGTAGCGAAGAGATTCTGATGAAGCCTCGGCCCTTGCTTAAAATTAAAGACACTGAAGAACTGCAAGACCCTGTGAGTGTTCCTGTAAGTGAATATTGGTATTATAATATAACCACAGAAATTGTATCTCTTCAGACTCTTCACTTCCCCTAATTCTCTCTCAAACAAAATACATCTTTGTTTTGCATTCCTAGTCTAGTTTGACATCTTCCAGATAACTTCATGAAGTCCACTCACTCGCCATCTCGAGGTGCCGCCGCCAGTTTTGATGGAATTTTGGCCAAAATGTCCCACTTTTGATGTTTATTCAACCCCCTTCCTGTTGATTTAGTAGAGGATTGAAAGACTTCCAACCTATGTCTGCGTCACTGCAGGCCTTAGTCAGACTAGAGTGGACATGTTCCAGGGCCTTGCCGCAGTGTACTACCAGCCAACTCAACATCCCTGAGTGTATTAGAATAACAACTATATTTTTCAATGATCTTATTATTTCATTTGTCTGCATGTTCTGGTGCATTCATGTTCATATATTTTTTGAGAGAGGTTGATAAAACTTCTTGATGTTCTTTGAAGATAGGGAAATATCTTTCATTTCAAACTTTGATTTCAAACAGGTCAAAGATTTTATGAGTCATTTGATCACGTCATCACACACTGGGCCACCTTGTTGGCATCTTAATGAAATGCCCCAAAAAGTGTGATAAAAAAATAAGTTGTATTCTGAAAAAAGACGTGCAAACGTGGCACTGGTGCGAATTCTCTGATAGGCGGTCTGGTTACTAAAGTCAGGACCCAACTTGCCCATCGAGTCTATAAGAATGGACCGTTGGAGAAGTTGGGCCTTTCATGATCTCTGTATCTCGCACAAACTCCGACCTAGAAAGCCTCTGCAGCGGAATTAGGGTTAAACACAGCCCTTGTAATGTCTAACCACTTAACAACAAACATGTCTTGGTACTGGGAAACTGGGCTTAGGCCAGTACAGTACAGTTCCCTGTTTGTTTGGGACTTGTTGTCATGAAAACAGGAACAAGGTGGGTCTTCTCACACTGGTATTTATTATAATCTTGACACCTCACTCGTTATCTTTTTGACTACTGAGAACTGAAGTCGGATAGCCGTTCCAGATGTATTTACCTCCATAGCAGGCTTGTAATATGTCACTATTTAACTCTTTGTTGCACTATAGTGCTTTTATTGGGTACATATAATTAACAGTAAGGTCTAATTTACACAGATGGAATAAATTAATGTACATTTAATAGGGCACATTTCTCAATTAGCAGACCTAGTGAATTGGGTCACTGCTTCTCTGGGTAATGGTGCGAGGGTTGGTGTTAATGTACTTCTATTACTAAATTACTACAGAGCAGACAAGCAGTACTTTCCGATCTTAATTGCACTCTCAAAGTAGCCTTAAATCTGGCCTAGATATGGCATATTCAAAGCTAATATAGAGTTTGGAAAATATGTGCCGTATGCAATCATTGAAAAACATCATGTAGCAGTTGCTACCTACACACCACCTTATTGGTGCTCAGACCTTCATGTCGAAGAAAATTATATGAAGGGAATGTGCTGTTCTGGTTGTCTTTTAATGGTCCCTAAGGGATGTTTCAAAATGTCTGTCAACATTCTTCTCATGTCAGTCATTGTTGCTAACTTGTTTTAGTGCAATAGTGGAAGACTGAGACCTGGCTTTGAAGAGTCTTATTCATTAATAGATTACACAGTACGTTGCTGTACAGTAGCTAATTATAATATCTCTTGTGGAAATGTAACAGCTTTACTCATCTGAAAGGAGACCTTTTGATCAGAGCTGGGCTTGTGGGATCTGCCCCTTCCTCTCCCACTCATCGTTACTAAAGTGCACTGATTTCCCTCCTGATGCGAGCGGTCTTTGCATATTCTTATTCTTGTCCCCCTGCTGAGAGGATGTGAAATGAAATCATCTAGATGTTTCCTCTTTTCTTCACTGTCTCAGCTCTGTTGTGTCTGAGTAGCAGAGTGCCAACACTAGTGACTATCTCAATGTAACTCTCTGTGTGGCTATCCTTGTGGAGTTTCACTTTCCCAATCTCCTTTGTTTCTCACTCTCTCGCTCTGTTCCTCTCTCTGTGTGTTGGGTCATGATTCAGGTGATAGTCTGCATACACAATTACACTGCAGTTTGAGCCAGGCTGGATGGTGCAGGGAGAAACTGCAGGGTGAAATGGAGTCTTCTGCTGTCAGCTTGCCCACATTTATCTGTGTGTGTGTGTGTGTGTGTGAGAGAGTTTTGAGGTGCTGTGTGCAGGTGTTTTGAACCAGAGCCCACAGTAGCGCACATCGGCAGGGACGTTATCCTTCTCTCCTCACCTCTGCATGTTCTTGTGTGTGTGCCCACATCCAGGCTGGTCCGGGGACACTTGCTATGGCTGCAGCCATCCAGGACTACCAGAGGACTGAGACAGATGGACTCAACGAGGTGAAAGGCCACCTGGAAATTGCCTTACTGGAAAAGCACTTCCTACGTGAGTATTGCACTATTTTTCAGTCTAGGTTTAAGTAGAAGTTTGTAAAACCTCTAGCAGTAAGGTTTTGATTTGCAAAAAGGGAAAATCTCTTCACGTTTGTTTGATTGCCAATCCACACAGCAGCTTTGGATATCTGTCTTTCATGTCAAGGTGTCTGTTAGTTGGTGAACTCATTAGGATTTGCGTGTAAATGTAATTTGTCTTGCCTTCAGGGCTCTCCTGGCTGCAGAATTAGATCTGTACTGGCTCATATAGCCCTCTTACGCCTGGCAACGTTGAGTGTTAGTCTCTTATATTAGATCAACTTAGGCTTATTACTCAAGCTAGGTCAGTGATCATAGTATCTGTGAGTGACCATAGTCCTATATAGGGATGAGCACAGTTATTCGAATATCCGAACGGACGTTAAGTATTCGATTACTTGGGAGAGTATTCATTTTTGAGAATAAAATAGCCCTATTTTAACAATGAAAATGCTTTGTCTTAAGTTAAGTAAAGGTATCTGTGACATTGCTACAGAGCCTACAAGGATAGACCATTACATTTTACATTTGTATAAAATAGTTTTTATGCGTGCGCCCGGTAGCCTACACCATTTCACATGTAGCTCAATCAAAGTGGCGCTACAGAGGCTCCATGTGTAGCAAGTTAAGTGGGAGATTTCTAATCAATACAAAATTGAATAAAAATTACGGAATTACATTGGCTAAATGAGAAGGAGTAGGCTGCAATGATCGACCAACAGGTAGGCTGTTTCATATGAATGGACTATTAGCTATCTAGCTTCTTTACAACGATTTGATTTTGCATGTATTACGACTATCCGGATATCCCAAAAAATATCATGATATTATTCGACACATTGAGGAGATGGAAGTACAGAAGTGGTGTGTGGCCTTCATTTCACCTCAGCCCTCCCTTCATCTGGGATGCAGGCTGCGTGTCAGCAGTATGGGCTGGTGGCTGGTCCTCATTGTAGAGCCCATTGTCCTCTGTCTAGCACCAAAGGGTACTAATGGGTAGAGTGCAATCGCCAAATGTACTGTTGCTGCTCTACTGAATGTATAGTGACTCTTTTTCTAATAATCAGATTTCAGATTTCCACATTTGGTGCTGAAGTTGATTATCCAATGACTGTGAGAGGAGCAGCTTGTTGATTTGCAATGCAATTGTTGTTTGTCGGCCTTGTTTTGAGCGCTGGCCCTGCTTTGCCATGAGCCTTTAGGGAGGTGGTTAGTGATTGAGTAAATGATCAGCTTTGTCCTTTAATTCTGCTTTGATGAGTCGGTAATTTAATAATAATATATGCCATTTAGAAGACTCTTTTATCCAAAGCGACTTACAGTAATGCTTGCAGCTCTTTTGCCAATTATTTGCATATCTGATACCTGTCCGATCTTTTCCCTAATGTGTAAACAGCAACAGAACACATGGAATCTGATCTTTTGAGCTCCGATTTATACCACATCCATATGTGGATCTCAATCCTGATACAGTTCTGATGCTCCATATGTGACCTCACTCTGGACGCTCAGATTTTTTGCACATGACCTGCCGTTACCACGACAACTACCCAAAATTGAAAGGAACAGTGACAGGAAATGAGAATTGCATCTGTGTGATACTTCAGAGGCTACATCAATGTGAATGGGCACATCTGATAAGGGTCAAATGTAAAACTGAGTGTGGACAGTCAGAAAAAAAGATCAGATATGGAAAGAAAATAAGAATTGGGTTTTTAGGGTGTCGGGATGCGCAAGAGATTAACCCTATGCTGATAAAAAAATTGTGAAACACACTACAGCACACACAATCCTTACCAGGTAATAAAGCCACAATATGTAACTTTTGGGCGACCTGACCAAATTCGCATAGAAATGTGAGTTTTATATATCTGTCATTCTCATTGAAAGGAAGTCTAAGAAGTGGTAGATATGTAATGTGTGCTATTTCTATGCTTCCTGTTAAGTATAGTTTTTGCATCTTTTACTTTCGGTTTTGTACACCAGCTAAAAATACATAATTTTTGGTTATGGAAAATATACTTTTGTGTGTATATATAGTGTATGTGGACACCCCTTCAAATTAGTGGATTCTGCTATTTCAGCATCACCCATTGCTGACAGGTGTATAAAATCTCCATAGACAAACTTTGGCAGTAGAATGGCCTTACTGAAGAGCTCAGTGAATTTCAACGTGGCACTGTCACAGGAAGCCACCTTTCCAACAAGTCAGTTCATAAAATTTCTGCTCTGCCAGAGCTGCCCCAGTCAACTGTAAAGTGCTGTTCTTGTGAAGTGGAAATGTCTAGGAGCAACAACGGCTCAGCGGCGAAGTGGTAGGCCACACAAGCTCACAAAACGGGACCGCCGAGTGCTGAAGCGCGTAGTGTGTAAAAATAGTCTGTCCTCGGTTGCAACACTCACTACAGAGTTCCAAACTGCCTCTGGAAGCAACATCAGCACAATAAATGTTTGTCGGGAGCTTCATGAAATGGGTTTCCATGGCCGAGCAGCCGCACACAAGCCTAAGATCACCATGCGCAATGCCAAGCGACGGCTGGAGTGGTGTAAAGCTTGCCGCCATTGGACTCTGGAGCAGAGGAAACGCGTTCTCTCGAGTGAGGAATCACGCTTCACCATCTGGCAGTCCGACAGACGAATCTGGGTTTGGCGGATGCCAGGAGAACGCTACCTGCTCGTAATGCATAGTGCCAACTGTAAAGTTTGGTGGAGGAGGAATAATGGTCTGGGGCTGTTTTTCATGGTTTGGGCTAGGCCCCTTATTTCCAGTGAAGGGAAATCTTAACGCTACAGCATACAATTACATTCTAGACGATTCTGTGCTTCCAACTTTGTGGCATCAGTCGAACCCCATCGAACACCTTTGGGATGAATTGGAACGCCAGGCCTAATCGCCCAACATCAGTGCCCGACCTCACTAATGCTCTTATGGCTGAATGGAAGCAAGTCCCCGCAGCAATGTTCCAGCATCTAGTGGAAAGCCTTCCCAGAAGTTGAGGCTGTTATAGCTGCAAAGGGGGGACCAACTCCATATTAATGCACATGATTTTGGAATGAGGTGTTCGATGAGCAGGTGTCCACATACTTTTGGTCATGTAGTATATACCACAGTGGTTTAGATGGTACAATGATTCTCTACACTATACTACTATACTTGTTTTGTCACAAAAAATGAAATTTGCGACCTATTAGAATTTTAGCAACCAGGAAATGGCGGCGCGATTTCTGCATAGTGCATCTTTAAGTTAAACACACCCGACCGCAGTGATGTTTACACACATGCACAGCACACACTGCATTGCTGATCAATTGAGGCCAATCTGCCTCTCGATCAATACATTTGTCTAACAGACAGTCCATGTTGTGATATCATCAGCCTCTACAACTGCGCATACAACAGTGTTGCCTACCCTTTTGAGATGGATACAATTCACATTGATTTAGTGTTTGTCCTCGTATGTGTATTTGGATAGGTTTTTCATTAATACCTTGGCTATGTTGTTTACCATTTCCCCTAAATAGCTTGGATTTCACACTCGCAATCTGTCATTTTACACAACCTGCCACAGGAAGAGCCTTGCAGTGAGAGAGAGCCAGGAATGTTTATTTTGTATTAGTTTTCCCCCCCCTTGCTCTCTTGATGTGTAAATCCTAGAGAGACCTCTGCACGTCACAACATTTTAAATAATATTCAGCATTTCACAATAAATAATAATGTAGGGAGGCGATCATCCACTTTGAGGGGCACCGGCAGTGTGTGTGTGCGCGTGTGCTCACTCGTCCTGAGGGCGCTGCAGTGGGGGAGGACATGAAAGGTCAGACGGGGACCTTCTTACTGTGCCAGTAAATAAAAGCAGTGGTTATTAATAGGGGATATTACATAAGCTACTCGACTCAGAAGAAAGGCAGCCAGGTATTGAAGTTCGTCTGGTTCACTCGTACAGAGACTGGAGGATAGCAGTAGTACTAATGGTTACTTCAGTAGCATTCTGTATGACCACTCCCTTGCTCTTGGTAACTATTAACCTATTCTGGCTAGAAAGCACAATGCATTTTTATAGTCTTCGAACCCAACCTCGTCTGTTGACACGCTTGGGCGTGTGTAACCTAGCGTAGCAGGTGTAGAAAGATGCCTGAGCAGAGTCCCTACTTCAGTTTTTCAGGGGTTGAAAATACTTTCTGCCAACGCCGCTAATGGTGGGACCTGTGTAACCAGGGCTACACCTTCAACAATGGCTTAGAATGTTGTAGTTATGTTAGATGGGGTAGTAGCAGTATCAGATGTATTTTAATGTGTTATTTATGGATTATGTTCTTGTAAACACTGCTAGTAAAGTAGCCAAGGTTCTGTTGCACTTTTTATATAACAGCTTGCCCCCAGAGATATCAGGGGATGTGGAGTGGATAACAAGTAACTGTCCTTTGGTGCCATGAGGCAGAACCAGTGTAGGATTGTTTCCAGGTTCCTCTGCTAGTCTCTGGCTCCAGGCCAGCACAAGGGAGAGTCACATGAGTCCACCTCCTCCTGTGTGACATTGTGAAATGCCTGGGTGAGGTTGCATAGCGATACCTAAGGAATCTCCAGGCCGGCCTGAAGACGTCATACCACTCGCTGTTTACTTGTTGTTAAGCATGGCAGACAGCTCGGGTTTCTCAGGGAAAAGTATTAGGGCGTGAAGAGATGCTGCATTTCCTGGCTGGCATTGGTCTGTTGACTCACATTTCTATACCCCTGTAGGCCTATTTGTTAGACACTGATTCTGGGACAGTAGGTTATTGTTGTATGATTTTCCCCCTGTCATCTACCGCCAATGTGTGACAATACATAGCTTTATGAACGAAGCGAAGACCTCACATAGAACACTATTGAAAAATATATATAAATATGATATATATATTTTGTACTTTTTACCCCTTTTTCTCCCCAATTTCGTGATATCCAATTGGTAGTTACAGTCTTGTCCCATCGCTGCAACTCCCGTACGGACTCGGGAGAGGCGACGGTCGAGAGCCATGCGTCCTCCGAAACACGACCCTGCCAAGCCGCACTGCTTCTTGATACACTGCTCGCTTAACCCGGAAGCCAGCCGCACCAATGTGTCAGAGGAAACACTGTACAACATGCGCCCGGCCTGCCACAAGGAGTCACTAGAGCGCGTTGGGACAAGGACATCCCGGCTGGCCAAACCCTCCTCTAACCCGGACGACGCTGGGCCAATTGTGCACCGCCTCATGGGTCTCCTGGTCGCGGCCGGCTGCGACACAGGTGGGATCAAATCCAAATCTTTAGTGATAGACTGCTGCGACACTCGGGAGGCCCAATATTGTAATTCTAACTAGTAGAGCATTACAGGCTAGATACCGAACTCTAACGAGCCAGTGTAACGGGAGTAAAAAACCTGTTGTTTACCCTGTTAGCCACTGATAAAGATACAGCACCTCCCTTAACATACCGGTAGGTGTCCAGTGAAACTGACAGTTGGACATTTACTATACTATGATAAAAGACGAGAGAGCGACCTCAACAGCGTTGAAGACGTTAACAAAAAGTGTCTTGTGTTGGCAGCTAGCCAAAACAAGGCACTGTGGGAAAGCAGAATTCAGGAAGTTGGAGATTCATTTCAGTTATATTGGAAACTGGGTACAACAACTTTAAAACCCACCTCTGGCTCAGAAAAATCTGAAGTGAAGATTAAATGGCTTTTAGATATGGGCCTATTGGGCGACTAAAACACTCGCTGTCATAGAAACATACCCAGAGCTGTGGTTCCCTGTCTCCCCCTGCTCCCCCAGTCCCCATGTCCAGAGGCTTGGCCAGGCATGGGAAGCCATGCATGTGATAATGAGAGGATGCTCTCTGGCACATTGTTAAGTAAAGGCCTCTATGCAAATGTTTGACTTACATAACTAGGCTATCTGGGGCGTCCGTGGCTTTCTATTCTCCCTCCTGGCTCTGCAGCAACCCTAGCAGCTACTGGTTAGCAGGTTAGCATGCCGTGCGGCACCCATTCAGAAAAAGCAGTCAGTCATATAGAAACAGAGGTGGTGACCTGAAAAGGCCTTGTACAGTAGGGCTTTATGGGGGCCAAACCCATTGGTGAAGTTGAGAATTGGAGGCTAAGAGGGATCGAGAGAGAGATTGTCTGTTAGAGTGGAGGATACTGCCTTAATGTTGCTGGACCCCAGGGAGAGTAGCTGATGGGGATCCTTAATGAAATACAAATACTTCAATGGTGTGAACATCGTCTCACTCAACAAGAGGTAGACCTGAACACTGTCTAGAGACAGTTTGTTAATGCTTTAGACGGGGTCATCTTTGAAATGGATTCAACATCATGTCAGTTACGTTCAGTACATTCAGGTACTTCCATCCCACGTGATACCAGGAAGAGGATGTGGTTTACACCAGTCTCGTGGTGGCCCAGTCACAGTTGATGTAGCAAGAAACAAACGATAGATCAGGATGTGGATGCGCTAAAGAGTAAGAACCTGTTTTCTGCCTTCAGATGACTCATACTGTTCAGATGTCTAAATTAAGAACTATCACCTAGGCCTTGTTCAGCTCCTTGGTTTCTGGGCTGAAGTTGTTGCTAACAAGATGGGTGGAAATTGATGTGAACAACAGGGCTTTTTGCTCTTTCTTTTGGGTGACGCTGTGGTGAAATCATAAAACAACTATGACTATAGGAGAGAAGTTACTTCAAGGCCTTAGCCATGATGTCACTGCCCTGCTAAGGTGGACGGGGGCGGCTATGCTCCATTTTGTTCCTCATTTATCAAGGGGAACACTTTAATATTTATTCCGCCAAGGGTGTCATAGGTTGTGTTGCTATGGTGGCAGATTTTCCAATTAGCTTGATGTTGTGTGGTAGGTTCAGAAAATGTCTATTATCCAACTGTGTACATTTACATTTTAGTCATTTAGAATGTAATTTCTTATTAGCATTTTTTCATAAGGTCATGAAGTGAACCATCCTCTGTAGAGTAAATGTCACTAGTCATGAAAACACGTGAAAATAATAATTTTTGTTATATAAATGTAACAGTAACATTTGAAAGGACCATACAGTACAGTAACTGCCAAACACACAACAACAATGCTAAGCCTCATCCCCTGTATCATTATTTTAGCTTGGTCAGGTTAGAAAGTGTCTTTTAAAACCCTTAGCCTACAATTTCTGTGCCCGCGCAGAAATCTAATTAAACATAATACAACAATCCCCATCAAAATCTGTCTGTTTAAGCTAGAGATATCTGGGGGTTTTGCATGGGCTGCGTCTCAAGCCACCGTAACCGCCAATATCGCCCTTCCGCATCTGCGGTGAAAGGTGGCAGAGCTAGAGCGGTGTTTGATAGACCATGAGACATCCCGAAAATCGGTCTTCTCACGAAAACGTCTGTAGCGTCCGAACGGTTTGGCCTAAAAACTAATATGACCACTTTATTGACAGGTGAGACTCCCACGAACGCGATGGTGCTCTAGGACGCTCACAAGCCTCACAAGACTCGTCTGAAGGTCCCCGGTACCAGTTTAAGAAAATGAATGGAAGTATATATGGAGATAGATTAGTGCCTAAAATAAGGGGATAAATACATGTAAAAACAAATAAAATTGTTTCCTGATCTTTCTTATATCTCTCAGATATAGGACCGACACTTCAGAACAAACTTCCTTTTGATTTTTTTGGGGGACTATCTGTTCCATGTATTGAATCTGTTATTCAGATTCAATACATTCAATTCAATTCTATTGGCTAATAGCAGTAATGCCAAATTCAATGTTTCATCCAATTTTATATATATGTTTTATACCTTAAGGGGTCTTAAAATTCAAAATCAAATAGCTAAATAATCCTTGGCATGACCGTCTGTTGTCCAAGGTGACCTTGTGGTAAGCTGGTAACAACACTAAGCTGTTATAACAGCCAGGCAGGCAGTCACCTTCAAGCTCAGACGTTGCTCAACCTAGAACTTTACAACCGGTACCACTCATTCCCTCTAGTAGGTCCTTTATCAATTTCTTGTGGAGTTGAGCTTGCGAGGTGAACTTTCTCCCAGTACAGTGAACAGATTGGGGGCCATACAGTAGCTGCAAATACTAGCTCTCTTTCTAATTTCTCCACTTTCTCCTGAACTCTCTTTCCTCTCCTCCTCCCCCTCCTCTGTAGTATCTCTCTTGGCCTTGGTCTTATTTTTTCACTAATCTCTCCCTCCATTCTTTTACATCTCTCCTCTGTCCCACTCTCACCAACCGCATCAGGAGATGCAAAGTGGACCAGAATTGGCCTGTACGTTGCAGTTGACACATTATGGAATGGGTTTATGAGAATGTTCCCTTTTTAATGCCAACGGCTAAAGGAGCGGACTCGTGAGAAATAAGCCGTTTAAATCATGCCACATACTCGAGATGCCTTGCCTGACCAAATCAGTTCTGCATAGGTCCAATCTAACATCTTGTAATGCTGAAACTAAAACTGAAGGACTACAAGCTGGTCTGGAAGTGACTGTTTGTTTTTAGCCACCTGCCCGTGGCTTTCTCCTCGGTCAACTGACAGACCAGGACAGTTGACATTGACATAGTTGATACCCTGTTGCCTACCAGTCTAGCTCGCTCTTATTGCCTTCACCTATCACTTTTAAATCATATCAAATAATTATTTATCTTGGGGATTAAAAAAGTACAATGAGGAAAATAGTCTTGAGATCCATTGTTTTATGTATGTTATACTGTGGTCATGGGGGGGAACATCGCTTATGAAAAGGACATTTCTCTCTCGTCTACGGTCATAGTTCAATTACAGTGATAAAGTAGGTTGAGGTGTTCTCTGCCAGAACGCTGTGCTACATTCAACAGGTTCTAAATGCTTTACTTCATCTTCCTCTTCCCCTCTCTGCTCGGTCAAGTAACATCTCAATGGTTTGGGGACTGTAAATATAAATATAGGCAAACATCTCTGTTCCCAGGGCTAGGCAACCCTGTTCCTAAAGTGCAGCATATACTTATTTTAGTTCTAACCAGGCACCGCATCTGATTCTACCAATAACCTCATCAACTGTGCTAATTGATCAATATCGGTGACTGGCTAAAGATTTACAAGTTTGTACAGGTGCCTGTGGCAGTGACTCACCAGGACCAAGTTAGGTAACAGTTAGAAATGTGTATTGGCTGAGCCAAACTTATGGGCTTTCATTGCTCTATTTTTCAGAGGAGGAATTGAGGAAACTTAGAGAAGAAACCAATATAGAGACACTGAAACAGGAGCTGGAGAAAGAGAGATCGAAAAGGCTGGACTTGGAACAGAAACTGAACTTGGAAATTCTCAAAACGAGGTAAGAGGCATGTGCGCACGCTCCGCTGCTGGCTTCCATGTGCCGGTCCCTGTGTGTGCCGGTCCCTGTGTGTGCCGGTCCCAGAGTATGTGAGCGGAGCGTGCCCAATTTGACTGGAGCGAGATTCCCAAAGGCTGGAGCGTCGGCCTTCTCGCCCGCTCCAGTAGCGCTCACTTCACGAGCTCAGGGCACGCCGTCCCAGCATGCATTTGTAGTCTACTTGTGTGCTGCTATAGCCCCTTGCTTTAGCTACTGTCATGGAATTCGCTAAATATTTTCATAAAGAAACTGATAAAACACACAGGTGCAAAATCAAAGTGACTTACAAAGATGAGGACCAAGAGGAGGAGTGCGGTGATGTGTTGTCCACAACTAAAGAATCATTGTGGAATCTGAAAAGACACATATCCCGAAAGCATGATGGTGTACTTACTACGTACACATGCAAAAAAAAAAAGGGAACAAGGTGGGTAACTAATTAACAGATAATTGTGTCAATGTAGCAAAGTATTTATAAACAAAAAATCTGTTATCTTAAAAGTTTCCTTCATTTTTGTTCTATTATCTATACAATAGGCCATCATTGATTTTGGCCCAATAGGCCTGGCATATTCCTACTTTCAAGGAGCTTTGTGTTTTGATTGGGTTATTTTGCCTAAAAACCTTTAGGCCTACCTATAACAATAAATAAAGAATAATAAAAAACCACTATGCATCCCTGCCCAGCCTGGCAAGCGTGGCCAAAAGGGTGTTTAGCGTCCCCAGTGACTCTGCAAGCGTGGAGAGGATATTCTCCGCTGCTGGCCTGCTCTCCAGGCACCATCGCATGAGCCTGAAGCCACATACTCTGACCAAACTCGTGTTTCTAAAAATGAATTCAAAGGCTGAGCCTAATAAGGCATTTTTCATTTAATTTGTATTTCATTCTAAGTAGGTCACAGCCTATATGCACAATTTATAGACCATAATGATTTAATACAACAAAATGTTGTTTAAATGCTGAGCGCTTTATGTCCGTGTGTGTGTCGGTCCCTGTGTGTGTGTGTGTGTCGGTCCCTGTGTGTGTGTGTGTGTGTGTGTCGGTCCCTGTGTGTGTCGGTCCCTGTGTGTGTGTGTGTGTGTGTGTGTCGGTCCCTGTGTGTGTGTCGGTTCCTGTGTGTGTGTGTCGGTCCCTGTGTGTGTATGTGTGTGTGTGTGTGTCGGTCCCTGTGTGTGTGTGTGTGTGTGTGTGTGTCGGTCCCTGTGTGTGTCGGTCCCTGTGTGTGTCGGTCCCTGTTTGTGTGTCGGTCCCTGTTTGTGTGTCGGTCCCTGTTTGTGTGTCGGTCCCTGTGTCTTGTCGGTCCCTGTTCAAAAATAGAGCCTCTCCCTGGAGTTGGGTGTGGGAATTTGTCAAGAAGCCGAGCCAGGCTGCCAATAAGCAGTCATGCACGTAGTGACTCCCTCAATACCATAGCCTTTGTAACACTAAACCCAAAGGTCTCTAATGTGATATGTCTAACGCATTCAATATAAATCACATCTGTGTCTGTGAAGTCTCCATTTGCTTTATATGGAAAAATCTCTGTGCCAAAATAATTTTGAAGGCTAGAAAAAAACGTTAATGTCATCTTTCTTATTCCATCTCTTTTCCTTTGTGATAAGTGACACCAATATTTTATTAAGCATTTTGCGTTCACTTGTCTGGCACAATAATGTCTCAATAAGGTAATGTGTTTTTCTGAAGCCATGGTTAATGCTCTACCTCCTACTAATGCTTAGTCTCTCCTGTTCCTAGACCAGAAGATTCCGCTCCACAGCCACCCAGAGCGACACCTGCAGCTCCCACCGCCAACAGTACAGGTCAGCCAGAAACGGGGATAAAGATACGGGTTATGTGAATCATGACCGACCAGCTCATTCACAAATCTTTAGAATGTCTGTCATTACAGACTTGACACTGCGTATCCCAGAGGCTTCCAGCACCATAACACTCCACCTCGCTCACCATTCAAATTCACATGACCTGTCTAATAAGGGTTCGGAATGGAGGCTAGGCGCTGGAGACGAGTTGAAAGAGTGACTCGTCTCATCTGCCTGTCTTTTGGGCTCTCTGAATCTCAGGGCTCGGCATCTCTGTGTGGGAGTTAGAGGTGAAGCTATGTGCTTTTCTTAGCCTCTGCTCGCTACCCATCAAAAACCAATCTCTCCCCTCCTCTTCCCTGGTGTGTGGGTTACTCACGTTTGTACATCACTCGCGTTGCAATGCGCACTTGCTTGTGTGTGTGTGTGTGTGTGTGTGTGTGTGTGTGTGTGTGTGCGCCACACGCAGCACAAACAGGAAGTTTGTAAGTGGGAGTGCTCCAGTGAAGGTGTGGGATGAATTTCATCCCTCTCTCTCTCTGTAGGGAATGTCACACATTTATATAAACGTGTATGAATGCGGCTGTGGAACATTGCCTTTCTACTCCCCTGTGACCTGAAATCCTGATTTTTATCTCACACCAGGGTTCTTCACTTAATTCAGTCAGCCTTGTTTTTAGATGAGGGTTTCTTTGTACTGCTAGTGGCTGCTTTAACTCCTCAAATGGGTATTGTCCCTCCCCCACAAGAAATAGGCTAGTATGGTTAATAAAATGCATTATGTAGGCCTAGTGCAAGCTGTAGCTTTTAAAACATCTGTAGAGAATAAGATGTTTCACCGTATGGAGACTGTCTGGGGCTGCCCTATAAATCACATTTACCTGAAAGCCTCAACTCCAATGGTTGCTTACTTTTCTTGTCAGACAACGTATTCAGGTATTTGATAATCTCGGAAACCCAGAACAGAAATCTTGTGTAATTGCGTCAGATGCTTGATTAGGTTATGAGATAAGATAATAATGAGACTAGCAAAGTCTCCAGCCCCTTAAACGGAAACCCTCAGCCAAAGCATGGGTCAAATGTCCCATTTTATTAAATACTAAAGATGCGAATGACTGAAAAATTGGGATTTGTCCAAATGAACAGTGATTAAAAGAATCTGACTCGGAACAAAGTTCCTTGTTAGTCGCCGCATCCCATATTCGGTTGACAGACGCTACGATACCATCCTATGTTATGCACTTGTCTGTCCACAAGAGATTTAAGTATACTGAACAAAATGATAAACGCAACATGCGTCCCCTGTAGCTCAGTTGGTAGAGCTTGGCGCTTGCAACGCCAGGGTTGTGGGTTCGTTTCCCACGAGGGGCCAGTATGCCAAAAAAAAAAATCAACAATTTCAAAGATTTTACGACGTACACGTCGATCCAGAGCATCCAATACATGCTCAATGGGTTACATGTCTGGTGAGTATGCAGGCCATGGAAGAACTGGGACATTTTCAGCTTCCAGGAATGGTGTACAGATCCTTGCGACATGGGGCTGTGCATTATCATGCTGAAACATGAGGTGATGGCGGTGGATGAATGGCATGACAATGGGCATCAGCATCTCATCACAGTATCTCTGTGCGTTCAAATTGGCATCGATATAATGCTATTGTGTTCGTTGTCCGTAGCTTATGCCTACCTTACCCTAACCCCACCGCCACCATGGGCACTCTGTTCACAACGTTGACATCAGCAAATGGCTCACCCACACAACGCTATACACGTGGTCTGCAGTTGTGAGGCCAGTTGGACATACTGCCAAATTCTCTAAAACAATGTTAGAGGCTGCTTATGGTAGAGAAATGTACATTCAATTCTCTGGCAATAGCTCTGGTGGACATTCCTGCAGTCAGCATGCCTATTGCACGCTCCCCTCAAAACTTGAGACATCTGTGGCCTTTTATTGTCCCCAGCACAAGGTGCACCTGTGTAATGATCATGCTGTTTAATGAGCTTCTTGATATGCCACAACTGTCAGGTGGATGGATTACCTTGGCAAAGGAGAAATGCTCACTAACAGGGATGTAAACACATTTGTGTACAAAATCCGCAGAAAAAGCACAAAAAGCTTTTTTCTTTCAATCTTTTATTTCAGCTCGTGAAACATGGGACCAACACTTTACATGTTGCGTTTATACACTGCTCAAAAAAATTAAGGGAACACTAAAATAACACATCCTAGATCTGAATGAATGAAATAATCTTATTAAATACTTTTTTCTTTACATAGTTGAATGTGCTGACAACAAAATCACACAAAAAATTATCAATGGAAATCAAATGTATCAACCCATGGAGGTCTGGATTTGGAGTCACACTCAAAATTAAAGTGGAAAACCACACTACAGGCTGATCCAACTTTGATGTAATGTCCTTAAAACAAGTCAAAATGAGGCTCAGTAGTGTGTGTGGCCTCCACGTGCCTGTATGACCTCCCTACAACGCCTGGGCATGCTCCTGATGAGGTGGCGGATGGTCTCCTGAGGGATCTCCTCCCAGACCTGGACTAAAGCATCCGCCAACTCCTGGACAGTCTGTGGTGCAACGTGGCGTTGGTGGATGGAGCGAGACATGATGTCCCAGATGTGCTTAATTGGATTCAGGTCTGGGGAACGGGCGGGCCAGTCCATAGCATCAATGCCTTCCTCTTGCAGGAACTGCTGACACACTCCAGCCACGTGAGGTCTAGCATTGTCTTGCATTAGGAGGAACCCAGGGCCAACCGCACCAGCATATGGTCTCACAAGGGGTCTGAGGATCTCATCTCGGTACCTAATGGCAGTCAGGCTACCTCTGGCGAGCACATGGAGGGCTGTGCGGCCCCCCAAAGAAATGCCACCCCACACCATGACTGACCCACCGCCAAACCGGTCATGCTGGAGGATGTTGCAGGCAGCAGAACGTTCTCCACGGCGTCTCCAGACTCTGTCACGTCTGTCACATGTGCTCAGTGTGAACCTGCTTTCATCTGTGAAGAGCACAGGGCGCCAGTGGCGAATTTGCCAATCTTGGTGTTCTCTGACAAATGCCAAACGTCCTGCACGGTGTTGGGCTGTAAGCACAACCCCCACCTGTGGACGTCGGGCCCTCATACCACCCTCATGGAGTCTGTTTCTGACCGTTTGAGCAGACACATGCACATTTGTGGCCTGCTGGAGGTCATTTTGCAGGGCTCTGGCAGTGCTCCTCCTGCTCCTCCTTGCACAAAGGCGGAGGTAGCGGTCCTGCTGCTGGGTTGTTGCCCTCCTACGGCCTCCTCCACGTCTCCTGATGTACTGGCCTGTCTCCTGGTAGCGCCTCCATGCTCTGGACACTACGCCGACAGACACAGCAAACCTTCTTGCCACAGCTCGCATTGATGTGCCATCCTGGATAAGCTGCACTACCTGAGCCACTTGTGTGGGTTGTAGACTCCGATTTTATGGTACTCGTGTGATGTGTCTTGGGGAATAAGCAGTGTTGTCTATTTTAATTGGGTGTGATGTCGGGCTGCTATTTGTTTGAATGAGGTGTCTGGTATAGAGCTGTTAGTTAATTGGTTCCAGAGACGTGCCCTAGTGATAATACAGCATGTGGTGAGTGAGAGAGAAAGGTGTTTTGGATACACTTTGATCCAGATGAAGAAATACTGGTGCTAACTTAGGCCTGACCAAAAAAACACAGTAGTGTGCTAACTTAGGCCTGACCAAAATAACACAGTAGTGTGCTAACTTAGGCCTGACCAAAATAACACAGTAGTGTGCTAACTTAGGCCTGACCAAAATAACACAGTAGTGTGCTAACTTAGGCCTGACCAAAATAACACAGTAGTGTGATAACTTAGGCCTGACCAAAATAACACAGTAGTGTGCTAACTTAGGCCTGACCAAAATAATACTTACAGTAGTGTTGTGCTTACAACATTTCATACTACTACAAGCAAAAGTCGTGTAATGTTGAGTTAAATGTTGAGTTGGTCAAATGTATTTCCATTTCAAATAACAGGGTTATTTCCTACAGTATAGGCAGCGGTCACCAACACTAGTCCTGGAAAGGATGTGCAGGCTTTTGTTGCAACCCAGCTCTAACAGACCTGATTCAACAAAACAAAGTCTTAACGATATCCCATCCGTTCCTCTGCCCCTGCAGACAAGCAGAAGGAGACCATGTACTCGCGGCTGCAGACATGGCTGTACGACCGGTTTGGAGCGTACATCGAGGACTTCCGCTTCCAGCCGGAGGTGAACACGGTGGAGCCAGATGAGCCGTTAAGCGCTAAGAGGTGAGAACTGCCGCCATAACCACTACGACCTCAGACAACCAATGCTTTCCCTTTGAGAAATGATGTACTTTAGATTCTGACTTCATAATTTCCTCTGTAATTGCTCCCCTCGGCCTCTCCCCTCTCGTTCGATAAAAGTGGCCGACCAGCCCGCCACTGTAGTCATCAGGTTAACCGGCTCAGAGGACAGAGTACATGCTGCTTAGAGAAGGGTAATGAAACTGATGGCTTTGTAATGGGCCTAGAGTCTGTCAGCGTGCTATACATCAGCACCCACCATAAAGTAGCCTGTCATGATGGGAAATACTGTCCTCATGAGCTCACCCTGATGTCTGATTGGCTTTTTATTATAACCTACAGCCAATCCCAGGGCTTTCAGCACAGCAGAGGTTGTAACCATGGTGTTATGGAAGTGGGAGGATTGTCTGACCCCTGGTGGTAGGTTGAGTGTGTTGCAGCTGGCCTTTTGTCATTCTCAGCTTGTTAGGACTGATTAAGGATCAGCTCTCCCTGCTCCAGTTCATACAGTGACCTTTTTGAGTGGAACTGCACCAACTGGCTATGGATCAGTTTTTAGGGCTCCGATTCTTTCTCCGATTCTCAGTCCTCTCCTGAATGACGCAGACTGGAGTCATGGGGACTCTGAATACAAGTACAATAGACAGAGGGGAGAGCAGGAGAGAAAGAGAACACTCAGTGTTCACCATGCCTGTGGAGTCATGGGTAGCCTGACTCAAACTGTCCTGGCTGTAACTTTATCCAAGCACATAAGAGAGGGTGGAGAGGAGAAGAGAAGGAAGGAGCATTCACTGTGCGGCGGTTGAAATGGCCTTGATGTTAGTTTTGGCGGCTGAAAGAGATGTGGAGATGGGATAGAGAGGCAGACAAAAAGACCTTGTCAGACAAGAGATTCTTCCAGGCACCACATACTTTCTCATGAAGGATGCCTAAATGCAGCAAGATCATGTGTACTCTTCCTCCACCAAAACATATCTAAACTCAGCAAAAAAAGAAATGTCCTCTCACTGTCAACTGCGTTTATTTTCAGCAAACTTAATGTAAATATTTGTATGAACATAACAAGATTCAACAACTGAGACATAAACTGAACAAGTTCCACAGACATGTGACTAACAGAAATGGAATAATGTGTCCCTGAACAAAGAGGGGGTCAAAATCAAAAGTAACAGTCAGTATCTGGTGTGGCCACCAGCTGTATTAAGTACATGCAGTGCATCTCCTCCTCATGGACTGCACCAGATTTGCCAGTTCTTGCTGTGAGATGTTACCCCGCTCTTCCACCAAGGCACCTGCAAGTTCCCTGACATTTCTGGGGGGAATGGCCCTATGCCTCACCCTCCGATCCAACAGGTCCCAGACGTGCTCAATGGAATTGAGATCTGAGCTCTTCGCTGGCCATGGCAGAACAATGACATTCCTGTCTTGCAGGAAATCACGAACAGAACGAGCAATATGGCTGGTGGCATTGTCATGCTGGAGGGTCATGTCAGGATGAGCCTGCAGGAAGGGTACCACATGGGGGAGGAGGATGTCTTCCCTGTAACGCACAGCGTTGAGATTCCCTGCAATGACAACAAGCTCAGTCCGATGATGCTGTGACACACCGCCCCAGACCATGACGGACCCTCCACCTCCAAATTGATCCCGCTCCAGAGTACAGGCCTCGGTATAACGCTCATTCCTTTGACGATAAACGAATCTGACGATCAATGTAAAATCACCCCTGGTGAGACAAAACCGCGACTCGTCAGTGAAGAGCACTTTTTGCAAGTCCTGTCTGGTCCAGCAACGGTGGGTTTGTGCCCATAGGCAACGTTGTTGCCGGTGATGTCTGGTGAGGACCTGCCTTACAACATGTCTACAAGCCCTCAGTCCAGCCTCTCTCAGCCTATTGTGGACAGTCTGAGCACTGATGGAGGGATTGTGCGTTCCTGGTGTAAGTCGGGCAGTTGTTGTTGCCATCCTGTACCTGTACCGCAGGTGTGATGTTCGGATGTACCGATCCTGTGCAGGTGTTGTTACACGTGGTCTGCCACTGCGAGGACGATCAGCTGTCCGTCCTGTCTCCCTGTAGCGCTGTCTTAGGGGTCTCACAGTATGGACATTGCAATTTATTGCCCTGGCCACATCTGCAGTCCTCGTGCCTCCTTGCAGCATTCCTAAGGCACGTTCACACAAATGAGCAGGGGCCCTGGGCATCTTTCTTTTGGTGTTTTTCAGAGTCAGTAGAAAGGCCTCTTTAGTGTCCTAAGTTTTCATAACTGTGACCTTAATTGCCTACCGTCTGTAAGCAGTTAGTGTCTTAACGACCGTTCCACAGGTGCATGTTCATTAATTGTTTATGGTTCATTGAACAAGCATGGGAAACAGTGTTTAAACCCTTTTACAATGAAGATCTGTGAAGTATGAAGAATTATTTTTTTTTATAATGTATGCACTCACTAACTGTAAGTCGCTCTGGATAAGAGTGTCTGCTAAATGACTAAAATGTAAATGTAAGTAATTAGGATTTTTACGAATTATCTTTGAAAGACAGGGTCCTGAAAAAGGGACATTTTATTTTTTGGATGAGTTTAGTTCTGTTTGTGCGTTTGTCTTACATAATCTTGTTTATGCTTTTGTCATGCTGAGTTCTAATTGAATAAAACTCATTTTCTCTTGTCCCATGTCCTCAGATTGACTGAAAACATGAGACGACTCAGTAAGTACTGTGCATTTAGTGGACAAGATGTACCAATCACACTCAATGTCAGGGGTATCTTGATGAATATCATATTCTGAAATATCTTCATAATCAGAATATGAAAATTCCAATGACAGATGTTTGTAGTAATAAATTATGATTTTGTCTCAAAGTCCTTGATAGTGGTTTGTTAATGGTGAATACTTTCTATTCCTCTGTAGAGCGAGGTGCCAAACCTGTCACTAACTTCAAGAAGAACCTTTTTGCCTTATCCAGCTGGCACTCTGTGTATACGTCAACCTTTGCCTTCATTGTGAGTGTGTACACACACACACACACACACACACGCGTGTACTATCACAGCATATGAAAGATCCCAGGAATGAAGATCAATATCTCTATCTCTCCCCCTGTATACATAGCAACATCTATATTTGTTTATAGATTTACATTAAAATATCTCTTTATTGGCATCTGCATGTGTAACAGTATATAATATGTATTGCATAGTAACGAGATGTTCCATACTTGGTATGAGTATAGACGAGATGGTAGATTGAAATAATAGATTGTGTGACCTGTTCTCCCCTCCCCCACTCCTCTTTCTTTTCCACAGATCTATATGAATGCAGCGTGGCACGGTTGGGCCGTCCCCTTGTTTCTCTTCCTAGCCATTCTCAGGCTCTCCTTGAATTACCTCATTTCCAGGTAGATTACCTCATTTCCAGGTAGATTACCTCATTGCAACGTGCATCGCCTATTGTTAGTTGTTCCATTTGAACATGGACAATCTGCTTGGACATGGACAATGTGCTTGGACATGGACAATCTGCTTGTGAAATGAGTCAAACTTGTCTCTCTCCGCTTTCTTCTCAGAGGTTGGAGGATCCAGTGGAGTATTGTGCCGGGGGTCTCTGAACCTGTGGTAAGACGTGTATGATGTCACCTCTTTTGGGATTTCCCTTTACCTAAGAAAGGTTAAAAAAAAAAACTACCCCCTTCCACAAGCCCTTACGCCTTCAGTGTTTGCCAATTTGGGGGCACTGGGTGTTACCATAACGCTTTTTGCTTTGGGGGTGAATAGTTTGGGATGTAACATTCTTTCTTCTTTTCCCAGGAACCACCAAAGGAGGATCTGACCGTTTCAGAGAAGTTCCAGTTAGTTCTTGATGTCGCTCAAAAAGCACAGGTGAGCTGTGATCATGTGATGTGATCATGTCTTCACCTTTGATTTAGAAAGTGCGAGAGATGTCACGATGACATCTACTTTGCGATGTGAGGTGTTGCTCTCTAAAGTTGATGTGCTGTTTTCACAAGAAATGTTTGTTCTTCACAGAATCTATTTGGAAAGATGGCAGATGTCCTGGAGAAAATAAAGAAGTGAGTGACGTGTGTGTGCCGGCACCTGTGTGTGTGTGTTTCCAGTGTATTTAAGGTTGTTAACCAACGTGTGTGTTTCAGCCTGTTCATGTGGGTGCATCCTGAGATCACTCAGAAGCTCTACATCGGTCTGTGGGTGGCCTTCATCTGCTCCTGTCTCCTACCCTACAAACTCATGGGCTTCATGATGGGTAGGTACAAGATGTAAAACCATGACCTGAGATCAGAACAGCCTTCATGGTTATTATCTGACCCTGCTGGTCATCTATGAACACTTGAATGTCTTGAAGAACGATCTGGCCTTAATGGCCATGTACTCTTATACAGTAATCTCCAACCGGTACAGCCAGAAGAGGGCTGGCCACTCCTCAGAGCCTGGTTCCTCTCTAGGTTTCTTCCTAGGTTCCTTCCTTTCCAGGGAGTTTTTCCCTCTGTAAATACATTTGATTGATTGATTGATTGATCAGTATAGGGGCGACTCCCCACTACACCTACCCAGTGATGGCCCCAAGCACTGAAATTAGAAAAAGACGTCGATATACCAGATGAAAAAAGAGAAATGGAGAGATCCTCTTGATCCATGGAAGTGGATCTCCTCTCATCCCTTTCCTTGTGCCACCTCTGCAGGGCTGTATGCAGGGATCAAGTTCTTCATCATCGACTTCCTGTTTCGGAGCTGTCCCAAGCTAAGGGACAAGTATGACACGCCCCACATCATGTGGACCAGCCTGCCCACAGACCCCCAGCTGAAGGAGCGCGGCGGCGCTACACTGTCCAGACGGGTATGTCTCAAACTCTGTACTATTGTATGTAATACATTTGTGTCTGCGTTGTGTACACTGAGCATACCAAACATTAGGAACACTTTCCTAATATTGAGTTGTCCTTTGGGTGGTGGAATATTCTTGATACACTCCGGAGACTGTGGAGCGTGAAAAACCCAGCAATGTTGCAGTTCTTGACATAAACCGGTGCGCCTTGCACCTACTACCATACCCCGTTCAAAGGTATCTTTTGTCTTGCCCATTCACCCTCTGAATGGCACACATACACAATCCATGTCTCAATTGTTTCAAGGCTTAAAAATCCTTCTTTAACCTGTCTCCTCCACTTCATCTACACTGATTGAAGTGGATTTAACAAGTGACATCAATAAGGGATCATAGCTTTCACCTGGAATTACCTGGTCAGTCTATGTCATGGAAAGAGCAGGTGTTCTTAAAGTTTTGTATACTCAGTTTATATGTGCAAGTCTTTTGTACATAGGTACGTATACATACCAGTGGAGGCTGCTGAGGGGAGGACGGCTCATAATAATGGCTGGAACGGAGCAAATGGAATGGCATCAAACCATGTGTTTGACGTATTTGATACCGTTCCACCTATCCCGCTCCAGTCAGTACCACGAGCCCGTCCTCACCAATTAAGGTGCCACCAACCTCCTGTGATACATAAACACTTCATATTGATGTGTGTCATTGTCGCAGTTCCTCCCTATTAACGTGGGCGTTCACAGCAGCTAGGACTGTGGGAACCCTCGTGTCAGTGTCTGATCTCCTGAGTTTTCTGTTTCTCCCTCTCAGCTGTCTGGGTATGAAAAGGTAGGGCTACCTAGTGTGCACTTTGGTTTTTGAGTGCCTGTGTGTACGCCACCATCACCTGTGTGTGTCATTAGAGCTGCATTCCAAATTGACCCCTTGCCCCTTTGGAATTCAGTAGTAGAGCCATGATAACTGTGAGTGTCTGTGTGAAGGATCAAAATGTGCCCCGTAGTTTAAACATATGCATCTACCACAGTGCTGTTAAAAGTATTATTTGGCGTGTTTAACCAAAGTTGAATTCTTAAGAGTTTACCATAATGGTGTTTTGAATGTACACGTTTGATCCATTCTCAGACACGATCAGAAGGAACCCTATATTCAAATTGTGTGTGTTTGTGTGTGTTGAGGAAGTAACTGGTAGAAACTGTTCATATATGTTCTGGAAAGATAGTGGTTTATAAATAGTATTTGTAGTTTGTGCCAAAAGTGTGGTTGCTAGAGCGATGTCTATCATAACTACTCTCCCATAAAATCACATACAATTATTAAAGGTTGTTTTATGTTGTTATAATACTTATCAATAGTTATGTGTGTTTTCTGGAGAATATTCCTACAAATGATCAGCCAAAACCCGTCTGACTATCTTTGTATTTTATGATGCGTTTCATTCTTTACACTGAAAGATTGTTATGGTCCCGTATTAGTTCATCGCTTCATGCCTTGCATGATTCACACCACAACCCTATCATTCACATCCCCATAAGCAAGGTATCCAACGCTCTCCACAAGCACCCCAGCCAATATACACTGCTTCCCAAACAACTGCTCACCTGAGTAAGCTTTGGGTCACCTGCGGTGAAATGCTCTGAGTGATGCCGAGGTCCAAGCCAAGCCGCTGGTTTGAGCGAGTCTGCTATAATACACATACGCTGCTTGGGTTTAGCTAATTCCCTTCCCACACTCTGTTCCTGGTCTAACATGCTTCCCTCTATCCTACTACGAATTTTTTCTAATTTCACAAACTCTAAGGTTCCTATCTACTTTAATAACACCCTTCCTCTCTACTTCCCTCTCTCCTCCTCCGTCCTTCCTCTCTCTCCTTCTCCTCCTTCCTCGTCTTTCCTCCTCCTCCGTCCTTCCCTCTCTCCTCCCTCCTTTCCTCTCCTCCGTCCTCTCCCTCCTCCCTCCTCTCCTCCGTCTTCCTCTCTTCCCTCGTTTCCTCTCTCTCTCCCTTCCGTCCTTCCTCCTCTTCCGTCCTTCCCTCTCTCTCTCCTGTTCCTTCCTCCTCCTCTCCTCCCTCCGTCCTTCCCTCTCTCCTCCCTTCCTTCCTTCCCTCCCTCTCTCCTCCGTTCTCTTCCCTTCTCCTCCCTCCTTCCTCTCTCCTCCTCCTCTCTCCGTCCTCTCTCCTCCCTCCGTGTTCCTCTCCTTCCTTCCCCTCTCCTCCTCCTCCTCTCCTCTCCTTCCTCTCTCCCTCCGTCCTTCCCTCTCTCCTCCCTCCTGTCCCTCTCTCCTCCCTCCGTCCTTCCCTCTCTCCTCCCTCCGTCCTTCCCTCTCTCCTCCCTCCGTCTTTCCCTCTCTCCTCGCTCCGTCCTTCCCTCTCTCCTCTGTCTCCGTTTCCCTCTCTATCGTCCTCTCCCTCTCTCGTCCTTCCCTCTCTCTATCCGTCCTTCCCCTCTCTCACTTCTCTTTCCGTTCCTCCCTCGTCCTTCCCTCTCTCCTCCCTCCGTCCTTCCCTTCTCCCTAACCTCTCCTGTCCTTCCCGCTCTCTCGCCTTCCCTCTTCCTCCCTCCGTGTTCCTTTATCTCTTTCCTTCTCCTCCTCGTCTTTCCTCTCTCTCCCTCCGCCTTCTCTACTCTCTCCTTCCCTCTTCCTCCTAGTCCTTCGTCCGTACTTCCCCTCTCCTCCCTCTTCCTTCACCTGTCCCTCTCCTCAGCCTCCCCTATTCAGTCCTTCCTCTCTCATCCATCGTCCTTCCCTCTCCGTCCTGAAATCTCTCCTCCATCCGTCCTTCTCTCTCCTCCCTCCGTCATTCTTCTACTCCCTCAGTTCTTCACTCGCCCCTCCGTCCTTCCCCTCTCCTCCTCCGTCCTCCCTCTCTCTCCCTCCGTCCTTTCCCTCTCTCCTCCCTCCGTCTTTCCCTCTCTCCTCCCTCCGTCTTTCCCTCTCTCCTCCTCCGTCCTTCCCTCTCTCCCCCTCCGTCTTTCCCTCTCTCCTGCTGTGTTTTTCCCCCGTTTCTCTTTTAGATCCAACCAGTGGTAGCTCGTGGGAGTCTAGGGACAGCCCTAGCATGCGGTGTCAGTCTAGAGGAACAGACTGGCAGGGTCTACAATACTAAGAAGGGTTCTTTCCACGAGGTCTTCAATCTGTCTGAGAATGAGCGCCCCCTAGCAGGTTGGTAGAGCACTGCAGAATAAACCTCAGCAGCGACAGCTACGCTGTACCTGGTTAGCTTCCTCCCCTATTACATGTTGACCCTGTTTCCATAGTTGATGATGAACTTAGTGTTTATTTATTGTGTTATGTTGGTGCAGTGCAAGCGGTGAAACCAGGAGTATTGACTGTGTGTTTGCGGAGTGGCAGACTAATGTGTGTGTGTGTGTGTCGATTGGTTTTGTTTGCAGTGTGTGAGAATGGCTGGCGATGCTGCTTGATCAACAGGGACAGGAAGAGTCCCACTGACTACATCCGTAATGGGGTGCTCTTTGTCACTGAAAAGTAAGCCATCTACTGCCAACACCTAGCTGTCACATGTAGAAATCACACTTGGCACCCTGTTGTGTTTTTTGTATTAGTTTGTGTGTTCAGGTATTGGCCTACTTCTCCATGCTTATTAAGTGTATTTCTATCCATCCCCAGTTACCTTTGCTTTGAAAGCTCAAGCTCGAGGTCAAACTCCTCTAAAAAGAATAAAGTAATCAAACTGATTGACATCACTGATATTCAGAAGGTGAGTGTCTCCATCTTCACTTCACCTTCTGTCCAATGTCTCAATTCACTGGTTTCTAAAAATGTACTTCTGCAGTAGAATGTAAAGGTTGTGGGCCTCCGAGTGGCGGAGCGGTCTAAGGCACTGCATCGCAGTGCTAGAGGCATTACTACAGACCCGGGTTCATTCCCGGGCTGTGCCTCAACCGGCCGTGACCGGGAGTCCCATAGAACGGCGCACAATTGGCCCAGCGTCGTCCGGGTTAGGGGAGGGTTTGGCCGGTGGGGTTTACTTGGCTCATCGCACCCTAGCGACTCCTTGTGGCGGGCCAGGTGCCTGCAGGCTGACCCCGGTCGCCAGTTGAACGGTGTTTCCTCCGACACATTGGTGCGGCTGGCGAGTGTTAAGGAGCGCGGTTAGGCGGGTCATGTTTTAGAGGACGCATGACTCCACCTTCACCTCTCCTGAGCCCGTTGGGGAGTTGCAGCGATGAGACAAGATCGAAATTGGGGAGAAAAAGGGGGGTAAATTACACCCAAAAAAAAGGAATGTGAAGGTTGTTTATCTGTGGGGTTTTTGTCCCACAGTACAAAGTCTTGTCTGTACTGCCTGGGTCTGGAATGGGAATCTCCATAGCTACACCGTCCACCCAGAAGGTAGGAACACTTATGGACAGTCTATTTTAGACTGTTTGTTTTCTCTCTATTTAGGTCTGGTAGTGTTGGTCAATATACTGTTAATAAATTGATCTGTGTCAAAAGATGATTTTCCACCCTCCATCTTTCCTCTCGGATTGTCACTCTCTCTCTCTCGCGCTCTCTCGCTCTCTCTCTTAGCCGTTGGTGTTTGGTGCCATGATCCACAGGGACGAGGCCTTTGATGCCATCTTCACACAGTACATGAAGACAGTGGCCATGACCACAGGCACCAACCCTGAGACCTAACAAACCAAGATGGCTGCCTTCACCAGGGACTTCCTTTACTGACACAGAGACATAGCTATGTAGTACACAGAGAGCCACCACTGCTATTGGCCATTTAGTACATATGAAAATATGTTAAGCTAGTGTCCATGCCAAGGTGGTGGATTTCTCCACCAAGCCAGGGATCCTTGGCACATAGATTAGCATGTGAATATGGTATCCACTTGATCTGAGGCCTGGTCCATCACTATAGAGCCCAAGGTTTTTCTATCCTCTTGCTGATGACTCCAGCTTCTCAACTAAGGAACTACGACTCCTGGATCCGCCCACCATTGCTGCCTCCTGCCTCCTATTGGTTGGGTCGAGGCTGTTGTGTCTAGGGATAGAGACACACTTGGTTCTTGTTTAGCTGTTTCTCTGTACTGGGGTAAGAGGTTTTCAACTCTGTCTTTGGATGTCACTGTTTGTGTGTGTCACAGGAGGTTGGTGGCACATTAACTGGGGAGAAAAGGCTTGTGGTAATGACTGGAGTGGAATCAGTGGAATGGTAACAAACACATGGTTTCCAGGTGTTAGATGCCATTCCATTTGCTTCGTTCCGGACATTATTATGAGCTGTTCTCCCCTCAGCAGCCTCCTGTGGGGTGTGTGTGTGTGTGTGTGTGTGGGTGGGTGGGTGGGTGGGGGGGGGGGGGGGATACATTTGTTGTCAACACTGTTGTGCTGTTTCAGAAGGAGGCTGGATCTCCTTGCCTGTCTGACAGGACTGTCTGACACTCCCATAGTGTTTATCGCACGCACATTGGTGCCCATTGCTCCACTTAATGCTTTCTGCTTCTGCCTTCAATAGGATTGATTTTGATTGATTGATATAGATATCACTGGTGGCCTTGCACAGGTCCTAGGCTACATGGCATTTTGTAAATGTCAGTTAACAAGTGCACGCCTTGTTATGTTAAAAAATAGTGCTCACGTTTATGAAAACCTTAAGCCTTCATGTGCCCCAGTTAATGATATTTTAGTATAATTTCAACAATAGCCTTTAGCCTTTATTTTGAGGGATGTTACAGGAATAATGTAATGATGGGCAGCCAAAAGCCTGGGGAATACTGGAGCTATTGTAGTGAATAACCTTCTCACACACATTTGTGTCTTGTCAAAGGAATGGTATGGATTTACATGTGCATGTTTAGGAGTCATGATGCATTCAGAAGCACCACATAAACATGACATAGTCAACACAGTCTTTCTGGAGCCTTAGAGTGTATTTATTATGTAGATCAGTATGTGATTTATAATATGTGACATTCTACATATACCTAATTGGTTTAGTAAAACTATGTAGGTTTTATGGAGTGTTTTGGAATGTTTTGCGAGAACTTTATGGGACAGATTACATGTAAAGCAATACCAAAACAAGCTATCTCCAAAAAGCAGAAGCCTTTTCTACACTGCCTTGTTCAACCACTCTCAATTAAGCCTTATCTAATTTTCTCACAGATGTAGGCCAGGATTCAAACCAATGCAGCAATGTACGTTTTGCTTTCCACTGATTCTGAGGTGCAACTTCATGGAAATTGGCAATTGGATCACGAAACCACACGTTCTTAAAATTTTTATTTTTTATTTTTAATCCAACACGGCATACAAATTCTACAAGTCAAGTGCAGTGCAATATCGGTAATTTGTGCTAGTTTGAATCCCAAACAGAAATGTCGGTAATAACATTTCCTTTTGGGATTTGACACCAAAGGGTAGAGGGGTTTGAAGTAAACGCTTAACTATGTTCTAGCTGAACACATACAGTACTAGTGAATCTATCTAACAGGACATTTCTGTTTGATGCCTTTAGTCTACAAGTTTAATTAGTCGTATGTACGGGATACACATGGTAATCACCGTCCAAAGAAATGCTTAATTGCAGGTTCCTTCTCTACAATGTAACAACAAATATAAATAATAAAAAATAAGAATACGAATATAAAGTAAATGGCCCAGTAGAATAGTATAGACATTTAAGTATAATACAGGAAGGCACAATTTATAGTCCAATATTTACACATGTTTTGGGGAAGGGGGGATTGGGGGGCAAGCGTTTAAATTGTGCAGTACACCAGGGGTGTCAATTAGGTCTTCAACGAGGTCCGGGGGCCGCAATGTATTTTTAAGATATTTCCTCGCTCTCAAAATGTGCTAAAATTAAACCTCTATCGTTTTGGGAATTTTCTATGCTCCCTGAAGGTCTGGCTTTCATTTCAGTGATTTTTATTAGCGAGTTGGATACAGTATGTAGGTCCATTATAATTTCTACACAGTTTCGATTTGGTTTTAGTAATGTAAAAGTATATTGAATTTGTCATCCCCCCCGTCCCAAATATCTGCAAAAAAAAGGTTTTACTCAAACCAGCCATGGGGCGTATGTATGACACCCTTGGTCTACATCAAGTAACTTAGGTCTTTCACTCTCCAAGCCCATCTAGGCAAGTTAAATATACTTAAAGGCCCAATGCAGCCATTTTTAAATCAATATCAGGGTAACAATTAAGTATCTTACTGTAATAGATTTCCATTAGAATGGGCAAAAATAGCTTTTTAGCAACAAACTTTCTCAAGCAGGAATTTTGCTATGACTGCCTGGGAGTGGTCTGAGTTTGATTTGTTTTCAATTAAAATGGTAAAAAGTAAACCAAAATAGCTTCTAAGAGCAATTTCTCAAGCAAGAATATTGCTAGACTGTCTGGGAGTGGTCTGTGGGGAGGGCAAAACTGAAAACTAGCTGTTATTGTCAGAGGTTTGGAACTCTGTTATTGGTCTTTTAATCAATTTACCATGGAAAGACGACACTCCCGCCCATGCAAACCTGCTGATTAGAAGGTCCTGTGTAGATTGTATTTTCAACCAGCAACTTTCAGGAAATGACACATTTTTTCAGACTTTAACAGTGTTAGTTTCATCAGCTGTTGTACAATATGATATAAAACAGAAAAAAACAGAATGTTGACTGCACTGGGCCTTTTAAGAAGCATAGAATGTACAGGTTGTATTTTTTGTTGTTGGCCAAAATGTTTATTTTACTGCTTCTCATTTTGTTTCGCCCAATAACTGTAATGTTTACAGAGGTTCAGTTCTAAACTCCACTGCTTTATGCCAGTTTGATTCCTATAACTGTAATGTTTACAGAGGTTCAGTTCTAAACTCCACTGCTTTATGCCAGTTTGATTCCTATAACTGTAATGTTTACAGAGGTTCAGTTCTAAACTCCACTGCTTTATGCCAGTTTGATTCCTATAACTAATGTTTAGAGGTTCGCTTATAAACTCCACTGCTTTAGGCCAATTTGATTCCTTGAGACTGAGGGCATGAAGACTGGGTCGGTAAGTCTTGTGATGGAGAACGTCTGTATGCTGATAACCCTGAGTGGTCACATCTCTAAAGTCACCTTTTTTTGCTCATATGCAGATGTTGTTTAGTAAAGTATTCATTTTTTAAAATTTTCTATCTTCCTGTCACATCTGCCTTATGCTTTATGACTTCTAAAAATGAAAAAACGCCACCCGCTGGAGAGGACAGATTTTGGGCCCAGTTATCCCACGCTTCTCCTCTTCCTCTGATATCATCCAGTATTTCTCTTTGGCAGTAGCAAGCAGGTGTTTATGCTAATTAGGCCAATCAAAGACTCACCCTGGGTTTAGCGACACTCTTTGCAAGAGGAGGGTGAATTGAAAGGTGTCATTTCGTGGAGTCATGTTGCTTCCAAATCTGTGTGAATCACCACTGTCTGTCTGAACAATGTCAGTTTATGGCATGGCTGTCAACTGGAAGATGGAAAAGTCATCATTATAGTTCTGTGTGTCCCAAACCATCAAAAAGGTGTTGTAAAAAAGCCCTTGTTGACTCCTCTTCATCAATTGTTAACTCAGTATGATGGCAATGGCTTCACCAAGTCCTCTGGTAGGTTAGGTGCAGTTTCTGCCACATTGCAATGCTTACCTACCATGTCCTTTAGAGTGGTTCAGGAGGATTAATGTGAGCCTGTATACATTTTCAGAGGAGGATGGACATTGTCTCTCTAGTTCTGTATCAGAGGTGCAGAGATTGTTTAAACCACTCAAAGGCTTGCCCACTGCAGTACTAATGTTAACCAAGTATTTATTTTTCTTAATACTTCCCAATCAGTTTAACTGTCTAGGAAAGATTACTGGTTAGTTGTGAATACTTCTTTGTAATTGCTGTGTCCACTGACAAATGATTTTATATATGAAATTATGTAATATACAAATCCCTCAAGTTTTTAAAGAAAATTGTTTACTGTAAAATGTTATGTACATTATTTAAGTAAACCAATTGAAAGTAATGATTGTTGGGTATTTTCTTAAGTTTCTCAGTAACTTTTTCACACTTCAAAGTTGGCTATGTGTTGCTTATTCATTTGTTTAGCAGTGTGATTGGGGTTGCTCCCCTTAATCAAAGGAGACATATCCTACCACACTGAGAAAGTTTGAGAAGCACTGGGACAAGACTAGGGCTGTTGCAGTGACCATATTATCCGCAGTCGTGTCATGACCGCAGTAAAATTCCACGTGACTATTGAGTCACGGTTATCTTCTTTTATGCACTCTGGACATGCCTTTTGTAGTAGGTCCACCTAACTTGCTAACTACCATCAGGTCCTAATGGCCTGGTACTCAGGGCTCTATTGTCCCTCTAACCACTCTGACATCAATGCAAATGCAATCGAAAATCACATCAAACACTTGTCATCAAAACAGAATATCTCACCACCATCCATTTCCATCTCCTCCTTTATCCTTTATTCCTGTCTTGAGCGCACAGACGTGCTGTCAACAGTTTAGTGAAATATGTTACGTTGCGAAAACAAGTTACTATTGATGTTCCCGAAAAGATTTCACTTGGTTTCCCAAATTATGCACCGGGTAGCTGCAGGAACAAGGTTGGAGAGCCCATAGCATACAGAGTTTGGGCGGAATATCACCTGTCGGGCAGCAAGAGCATGCTCCACAAACAGTGGTTGACGCCTGGAGTGAAATAAG